GAAAAGAGAAAAAAAGGAAAAAGTTTTGAAGGAGGAAAAAATAGATAAAAGGAAAAATTATTAAAAATAAGAGAAAAAATTACTTTGAAAATAATAAAAAATCAAAATAAAGGGCCTCCTTCAGGGTATGTCTCTGCTGTCACAACAGACAGCATGGGCAGGAATATGCAGATCTAAGTCAATTAGTCTCAGCAAGCCAGCAGCTGTCCCCTGAGGTTCAGGCTGAGCTCTGCCTACAAAGCCCAAGTTGGGATCTCTGACTTCCGGCTAGGTTGAACTTTGCAAGGTTCTACTGCAGGTTCCAGCTGCCTTCCCCTGAAGATAGTCCAGGTTCCGTTGGGAGGTGGCAATCCCTTCAACTTACCAACTACAGTAGTCTGGTGTGCCTTTATTGCAGAGATTTTCTTCACTTTTCCAGTGGGCTTCAATTTTCATCTAGGAGCCTCAGAGAGGCCTTCTTTCTCTTGTTCACTTCTGATCTATCTTCTGGAGCTCAGATCAATGGCCTTTCTAACCCAGTGCCTCTCCGTGGTGTGGATCCAAGTGCTGGGATGGCCCAGTGGCCAAAGGGGGAGGGAGCGTGGCTGTGAGCAGCTCCATTCCTCTGTGCTGAAGGGGCGGGGCCACAGGACAGCCCGCTCACTAGTCAGCACCTCGCACATGTGCAACGTTTTTTTTTTTTGGTACCAGGGATCGAACTCAGGACCTTGTGCTTGCGAAGCAGGCAGCAGAACCACTGAGCTAAATCCCCGGCCCCTACATGTGCAACTTTTTAAATGCTGGTTTCTAGTCTTCTCTCCAGATTACCAAATTACAGTCGCTAGGAGAAAGGAAGGTCTATGAGGGTTATATTTGTTTTTAAAGCTAGCTCCCTAGATGATTCTGCTGCCCAACATTTCTCTTGCAGTCCTCTGCCCCATTCCTTAAACAATGTGGGGATGACAGGTTGATTTGTTGCATATACTGATTGATGCAGGGGTTAATACTTCTTCCATGGTCAATCTCAAGCTACCATTAGTTCATTCCTGGATATTTAGCCATTAGTTCTTGCTAGCCATTAAGAGCTAGCTCTAGTATACCAATAGCCCACATCTCTACCCTCAGTTCTGCACTGGCTAAGGACCACTACATTATAGGAAAATTTGTGGGGGAATATATATATATTCCATTTATATGAGTGCATGCATCTATATCTATGTCTACATCCATCTATCAAACAAAAAACCCTGAATGGTTTGTATTGCAATAGTTAATTTCTCAAAAGTGCTTTGGGCAAATAACCCTTAGAGAAACTTTGGAAATAAACATGGAGTGAAGAGAAACAGGCTTACTGAACAGGCTGTGAGGACAACAGACCTCTTGTCATGTCTAAATATAGCAGAACCTCACCACTTGATGTCACTCTAATACTTGCTCATGTCCCTGGAAATCTCAAGCAAGATATGATGATTCTGAAAGTATGTCTTATTTACTGTTCATTATTTGAAAGCAATTTTTGTGTATTTTTAATTGGAAAAGATATAATTTGCAGAAAGACAGGAAACAAGGGCAAAGGGCATTTTAGAATCACAAAACTTTGATTTTGCACAAGACTTTAATTTACCAGTTGAATAAACTTAGACAAGACTCTTAACCTCTCCAAGCCTCAATGTCCTGATTTATAAAATGGGAGGAAATATTTGTAACTCCTTTTTCCCCTTTAACACACAAAGCAGGATGAAAACCACAATGGAACGCAAAACTGATAAATTTCATAAAAGCTCCTTTTCTGTTTCCTTATCCCTCTTTCAATCAAGAACAGTATGGATTTTTTTCTTATGTAAAATAAAATATTGCTTGGGCTTGAAAAATGAATGTATTTCAATACAATAGTAAACGAGACTGCCTATTCTGGTCCTCTCCTTTCACACTCTGAAAGTATAAAGGCAGAAACATTTTTAGCAAAATAATTTCATAGGTAAACTGGAGCAAGAATTTGGTATTCATTTTTGAGCACTGGGTTTTAGGTAAGATGCTTAAGGTCAAAACTTGTATGAATTTTTGTTTTCCCATTTATAAAAATGGGAACAATAACAGCTTCCTCATGAGATTGTGAAATTAAATACCATCAGACATGAAGAGCACCTGGCACAGTGCCAAGAACATTAAGCAGGAGCTCAATAAATGCAACACCCTTTTGGTTTCTTGTAAAATAGCCCAGAAATGGTTGAGAGGATTAGGGATCCTTCCTCAGAAATGATAATACATACTGAATCAGGTCCTTCAGTATCAAGCCTCAACACAATGGGGTAATAGGCAGACGGGAGGGACACCATGTTTGACATAGATTAATGCAACAGACAGATCCTTTAGGGGGGACTAGAGATTGGAAGCAGGGAGAACTATTCAGTGATTTTTGCACAAGTCTACACATAGCATAGAAAGGAGTGAATTTTTAGACACATGTCAAAGATAAAACTCAGCAGTTACTGACTGCCTTCAGGGATGACAATGTTGATGCTGTCTCACAGGCTCTAGAGACCAATGCTTATAACTGCTCTGACCTGAGATCTAAGAAAACCAAAACAAAGGAGGCACAGTTCCTGCCCTCAAGACACTCCAAATCTAACCTCTGGGACTAATACCTAAGAAGTAAATATACAAATGAAAGGACAAGTGATACCTAAGGTCTCCCACCTCAGTGGCAGTGTGTTATCTGACATTCTCTGATACTTTGATAAAATTCCACATATATAATCACTTCTTTGCTAGGGAAAAAAAATGATGTGTTGGTCTTGAATATTCCAATTCTAAGAGGCCTCTCTAAGCCCAGACCTTCAGGCACGAAAAATTGCTTGAGGAATGTTGTCACTGAAGAAAAACCCAAGCCAGCTAGAATGCTCACATTGCAAGGAACAGACAAATGACTTGAGCTGGCACAAAAGAAGCTGGATTCACTGTCTCAGGGAACTGAGTTGTTGGACAGTGGGGCTCCTCAAAGCATGGTTTCATTCAGAGGTTCCCTTTCATTAGGGCACCAGCTGTGTTTTGCCAAGTTGCTCTGAGATCCATAATCCTTTGCTTACTTCCTGGGGACAAATCTTGTCCCAGCAGTTCTAGGACACAGCCCTGGCAGCATATCAACCTTCCAAGCAAAAGGCATGTGTGAGTTCAGTCATGTGTTCACTCAGAGCCAAACTTTACCGCCAGGGAGATGGCTTGCTCTGACTGGCCTAGCCTAAAACACATGCTCTGCCCTGGGAGCACATCTGATCCCCATGCAGAAAGTGGGGACTGCTGGGAAGGAGGAAAAGGAAACTCTCCCACCTCCGGAATATCAGTTCTACCTGAGTGTGACTCAGTTAAGAGAAAGGACCTAGAGATGCAGCAGAGTTCATAATCTGCCCTTTACTCTTCCCTCCTCCTCTTCCCTCTACTAGCACCACCTTTCGAAGGAGAATTCAGCTGTTTTCCTGAGAAATATATTTGTGCATACAAAGGCTGGTACCTTCCATATGCTTTCAAAGAGAGACCATTAGTTACCACCCCTTTCCCTGCCCATTTTCATTCTCATGCACCTCTCCAATGTCCCTCCCTCCTGGCTTGGCATTTCCAAGGCCCATACCTCTCCATTTGCAGGACAGGTAGTTGCTCAGCTCTGCAGGAACCAACCTTCATGTTCCAGCTGCAGGTTTCCTGCCCTTCTTTCCTGCACTCACACGCCTTCTTCCAGAACCAGGTGAAATCTCTTAGCTTCCTGCAGTTCCTATATCATCTTCTTCATTTGCAGTGTGATCCTATATTTACATTCTCTACTGTCACTTTAATGGCAACTTATTTAGGAGGGAGGAGACAAACACATGAACACATGTGGTTGGTGGGCCATCTTAAACTGAAAGTCATTGATCCACATTTTCCCATGAAACTCAAATCTTCTGCCATGCCTGTGTTTGGCTTAAATGAGCTTATGTCAAAGATGAAGTGAGTCACATGGTGCTTTGGCAGCCCCCACCACACTAGGGGTGTTTGGAGAGATTACTGGCTGTGAAGGGATACAGGTTGTGATGAGACAGTAGAAGGGGCAGGGACACATAGACCTGGTCTGTAGCGTGTAGGGCCAGCATGTAGGAGAGGGCTCACATGCAGCACTTGCTTGCTGCTTGTGGTTTGAGGCGTTTTACCTTCCCCTTTACAAGCCTGTTTCCCTTCTGTAGTTCATGAGGTCTTTTATAATTGGTATTAGTCAAGGTCTTTGGGCTTCAAGCACCAGAAACTAATACCAATTAAGCAAAAGTTAGGTTGAAGTAGCAGGTACTTATAAAGATCCTCATGGCAGGGACTTCGGAAGAATGTAGGAGAATGTAGGCCCACAGAAAGAATTCATATTGACCAAGAAAAGAAAATGGGAACACTATGCCAGCCAAACATGTCTACTGGCCACCTTCAGTGCATTTGCCTCCTGTCTGCAACCTCCGTTAGTAGGGAGTTCTGTGCCTGGCACCTAGGCCCGGCAGTGCCAAGGTACTCAAATTTCAGGCCAGAAGCCTGATTCTTGGCAATGGAGAAAAAACTAGGGAGCAAGGCCTAAGGTGACAGTGACTCTTTTGATTCTTCCAGTCTCCAGCTCCCAGCACAGGGCCCAGAAAGAGAAGACTGAAGTCAGACATCTGGTCCTGAGCCTCCTTCAACCCACAGAGAAATGACCTGTACTTGTCTAATGGGAGCCACCTCTCGCCCCTTGACTGAGAGCTGAGCAAGTAATGTGCAGTGCGTTGAGTCAGGGAAAAGCAGCTAATGGAACAGGATGTCACACTCTTAAGCCCTGAGATGAAACTGTCCTCATAAAGTGGGCAGAGGAGGAAGGATCAGCTGTAGTGGTAGTGGGGTTCCCTCCCCTATCCTCTAACCTGCAATTCCCAACCCCACCTCCCACTGCTCCCTCACCTAGCAGAGCCAAAGGTACTGATACTTCGAAGCCCAACTCCCCATCACCTGCTATCCCATTAGACCAAGAAATCCAGACCAGACAAAAGCCACTGCACAATAACATTTTATGTGAAATACTGCAAATGTATAGCGGGGCCTGCCTGTTGGGGGCCCGCCCCCTCAGCATTTGGTGTAGATGGCTGCACCGCCCCGCTCCTCGAACTCTTCCTTGCTGACCCAGAGCTGCTGGAAGGCCTCCAATGAGGCCAGAATGGAGCCGCCGGTCCACACAGAGGTCTTCCTTTCGGGACCAGCGGTCACTATGGGGCTGTCCTCGGGGCAGAGGAGGCTCAGCTCCCTCTGGAAGCGTTCGGGGAAGCCGTCCAGCATGGTGCAGCCACCGCACAGCAGCACGTTGGTGGCCATCTCTTCCCTGAAGCCCGCTTCCTGGCAGCTATCCAGGCAGGCGGCAGTTAGCGCAGGGAGGCTGGGCTGGCTGCAGCCTGCCAGGGCCGGCTTGAAGAGCATCTCAGAGCAGTGGAAGCGCTCCTGGCTGATGGTGATGACCTTGCCGTCGGGGAGTTCGTAGTCCAAGCGCAGCCCCTCCAGGTCCAGCTGCTCCTCTTCCGGGAGGAGGGCCGCGTAGCAGCACTTCTTCTTAATGTGCTCTATGATGTGCAGGTGGTCATCCGTGAACTTGTGGCCGGCCTCGTTAAGCAGCTGCATCAGATAGTTGGTGAGGTCGCTACCGGCGTAGTCAGCGCGGCTGGTCATGCCCGGGAGCATGTCGCCCTGGCAGATGGGCACCACGTGCGAGACCCTGTGCCCGCTCTCCACCACCAGCCCCGTGGTTCTGCCGTACGAGTAGATGGAGAGCTGCGCCTGGGATGCCACGTGCATGGCGGGGATACCGAAGGTCTCGAACAGGAGCTCCGCGTACTTCTCCCGGTTGCTGCTGGGGCTGAGCGGCGGGTCTGATACCAGCATGGCATGCTCCTCGGGGCAGATCTTCATGGCCGTGTGGAAGATGTACTCCCAGATGTTCTGGACGCAGTCCCAGTCCACCACGATGCCGTGCTTTAGAGGGTTGACCAGTTTCAGAGGGGCCTCTATGTTGAGCAGCTCGTGGCCCACATAGGTTTCCTTGCGGGTGTCGCCCGTGTCGCCAGCATCCACCATGGCTTCATGACTGCGCTTGCCCACCGTGGAGGAGATGAAGTAGGTGGGCCGCTGCTCTCCCGCATAGCCACACTTACAGTACTGGGAGCCCAGGTCAATGATGAGCGCCTTGAGCTTGCGCACCTTCCCGGGCTTCATCTGCTCAGTGGTCGAAGCTGTGTTCCTGATGTCAGCATCAGGCCCTGGAAGTGTCCCTACCACTCCAGGGTCCCCCTGAGCTGTGCCCATGGGCGTGGGGCTCGGGCTATTCTTCGTCGCCATCTGCTTCCCTTTCCCACCTCCTCACAGCCACATCCTGGAGCTCCAGGGGAAAAATGAGTGGTTTCTCCCAACAGTGCCTTTGCAACCACCTAGGACTGTGATGTCACTGGGGCTGGTCCATTCCTTCAGGCAGCCCAGGGAGGGTTGGATCCTACTCCCCGCCCCCATGGCTCTACTAGTCTGGGTATTTTTTTGGTACTGGGGATCGAACTCGGGACCTTGCACTTTCGAAACAGGCACCAGAACCACTGAGCTAAATCCCCAGCCCTACTAGTCTGTTGTTCCAGGGTGGCCAGCAGTTTTAGAAATTCAAGCACAATTAGGTCTCAGAAGTTCCTGTTCCCTCCCTTAGAGGTCTAAGCCTAAACTCTTGTATACTGGCCATACTTTCTCCCCTGCTTCTCGGCAGTGATAAATATTTGAACATTGTACCAGGTGCTTCAATTAATTTCACTACAAAGAAAGCACATCATTGTAGTGACTGCCTTTTATGAAGAGCACTAGGCACGCCAAGGTGCTGTGGAAGATCGGATTCAGACATCCTGTGTGGCAGGCTTCAACACTAATGTGTCCAGCTAGAGATGACATGAGAGACAAGTTTCCAAGCAGCCTCAGAGACTCATGCTAGGGCTCAAGGTGTGTCCGCAGCACACCCCAGGAAGGAAGCTGCAGGACAGTTGGCCACTCCTGCCTGGACATCCTTGGGGGAGCTATGCATTACAAGCCTTAATGTTCTCATTAGTGACACTCTGTAATGTCTGCCTAGTCCATGACCCTAATGAAGGACAGGCATGTGTATGAATGTATGTCCAAAAATTAATTTCTCTAAGATTGTCCTAAGTGTCAATCTTCGCATCCAAAGTAAGAAGAGCCTGGCACAGTCACTACAGCAGCAATCTGTCAGGTGGTGTCAGTTCTCTGCTGAAAATCCTGGGCTTTCTAACCTCACCCCAGCGTGTCCAAAGTCCTTGCAATGGCCCAGGAGGCCTGAAGGGAGCTGCTCACCCTCCCACACCCCCTCACTTCTTCTATCTTGACCTTCTCTGGCTCCTCCCACCTGCCACACTGGTTTTCTTGCCAACTCTTTAACTCAGTCAGCAAACTCTGTGATGTGCCAGTCATTATTTTCATTTGGCATTTTTGGACATAGTCTTTGTTGCAGTGATTGCTGTTGTACTGCAAAAGCAGCCATACGTAATACTAAAGTGAAGGAGTCTGGCTGTTCCACCAAGTTTATATAGAGCCACAACCCACAGCCTGGACCTGGCTCCATTCTGATGGTCCCTGTCCTAACTGATTTGCCTCAGTCACTCATTTGCCTCAGGGCTTTGCACCTGCTCTCAGTGGTGTGTGGCTCTCTCCTTTACCTCTTCTAGGTCTTCTCAAAATAGCCAGGTATCTCAGCAGCCCTTGGCCAGGCCACACTAGCACTGGCACCCTGCCTATCCTCCTTTTCAATCTTTTGCACTCTAAACACTTTCCTAAACTTCCTAACACTTTTCTAAACACGTATTTGTTCTAAATACATTGTCTTACTTCTATCCCACCAACTAGAAGGTAAGTTTTACAAGGGCAGATTATTTTCCCATTGCTGTATTCTCAGCTGCCTTGCATGTCACAGGCACTCAATACATAGTAACTGAATGAATATGTCTAATTATAAAATTTGGAGAAAAGGGAAATCATTTCAAAAACAATACCCTAAACATACACTAACCCAGGAAAAGGTTTCTAGTATCTAGAAAGCCCCGTCACTGGATTATGTCATAATCAGTGACGTCATTGTTGGGGAATTCTCAAGTTGTCCTCTGATTTAGGCCTCACAGGCCTTTGAAGCCACTGGGGATGAAAAACTTTCTGAGAGAATACGGCTTTTCATAGCATGTGGGCGTCACAGGCAGCAAACACAGGGGATGGGCTCGCCAAGAAAGCGAATGACCAAGCCTCCCCTCAGTCTCAGGCCTTCCAGACCGCCTCCATAAAGGATGGCCCTGCAAAGCAGGCAGTGTGGGTTGGCTGTAACAATGCAGAGCAAGAAGAGTCTGTGAAACCAACAGATCCCAAGGAGAGGCCTAAGCTACAGGAAACCAAAGCAGTGGTCGTGGACCTTGGTACTGGTTACTGTAAATGTGGTTTTGCTGGCCTGCCAAGGCCCAGCCACAAGATCTCAACCACAGTGGGTAAGCCCTACATGGAGACAACCAAAACTGGGAACAACCGCAAGGAGACTTTCGTGGGGCAGGAGCTCCTCAACCCAGAGATTCGTCTCAAACTAGTTAATCCTCTGCAACATGGAATCATTGTGGACTGGGATACGGTGCAGGATATCTGGGAATATCTATTCCGACAAGAGATGAAGATTGCCCCAGAGGAACACGCAGTCTTGGTTTCAGACCCACCCCTGAGCCCACACACCAACAGACAGAAGTATGCTGAGATGCTGTTTGAAAGTTTCAGCACGCCTGCCATGCACATTGCCTACCAGTCCCGCCTGTCCATGTACTCCTATGGAAGGACCTCCGGCCTGGTGGTGGAAGTGGGCCACGGTGTGTCCTACGTGGTCCCCATCTATGAGGGTTACCCACTGCTCAGCATCACAGAAAGGCTGGACTACGCGGGCTCTGACCTGACTGCCTACCTGATGAGCCTGCTGAACGGTGCGGGGCAACACTTCACTAAAGACCAGATGAGCATTGTGGAGGACATCAAGCGGAAATGCTGCTTTGTGGCCATGGACCCCATCGAGGAGAAGAAAGTCCCTTCCAGTGAGCATGACATCCAGTATACTCTGCCTGATGGGAAGGACATCCGCCTGTGCCAGGAAAGGTTCCTCTGCTCTGAGATGTTCTTCAAACCATCTCTAATCAAGTCGATGCAGCTGAGCCTCCACACCCAGACAGTGCTCTGCCTCAACAAGTGTGACATCGCCCTCAAACGGGCCCTCATGGGGAACATCCTGCTCTGTGGGGGCAGCACCATGCTCAGAGGTTTCCCCAACCGTCTGCAGAAGGAGCTGAGCAGACTGTGTCCCAATGACGCACCGAATGTAAATGTGCTGCCTGAGAGAGACACTGCGGTGTGGACTGGTGGCTCTATCCTGGCCTCACTGCAAGGGTTCCAGCCACTGTGGGTGCACCGCTCTGAGTACGAAGAACACGGGCCTTTCTTCCTCTTCAGAAGGTGCTTCTGACTTGTGAGGCAGGGCTGCTGAGGTGCCGACGCATCAACTTTGCTAGCTGGGTACCCATCTTACACACAGGGAGTTGAGCCGGCACATTGGTTCCTACAGCATTAAACACCCTGCTTATGCCCCTCCATGCACGGTGTGTCTACTGCTCACTGTACAAGAATAACTTCACAGATGTAGTCCCTGTCTTAAAAAGTTACACTCATATATATATATATTTGCCAAAACAAAAGCAAGGGTGGTGGTGGTGGTGGTGGGAGACCAAAACAATCTTTTTATGTTGATCCCTCAACACTCATTTTTCCTTGGGAAAAACCAGCTCTAAAATAATTGTCTCTTATGTATACTTCCCGCTATAGGAACTACTATATTGTTAAAATCGATTTGGAAGAGGAGTGTGGTAAGATAGATTACAGAGTACTTGCACATAACAAGCTCCCTTCTGTCAACACCAGTAGCTCCATCTCCCCCAAAGCAGCAGTGTACATTTCATACTTCACCTGCAACCCTGAAAGCTTGGAAATTGCTGGTAAAGATGTCTGACCCCTGCTTCAGTTGTACCTTTTAAAATTTCTAACAGTCACTTACATTGGCCATTGTGACCAGCCACTGAAGACTAGCACTGAGAGGGCAACTCTTCTGAGAACAAGTGCTACACGGACTTCCCCTTTTAAATAACTGGGGTAAGATTTATCTTCAGCTATCAGTATTGAGATCAAGGACGGAAGTCCTGGTCCTTCTCTAGATACTTAATGTAATTTCTATCTCCTTAAGATTATTATTATTATTTTTTTGGTACCGGGGATTGAACTGGGGACCTTGTGCTTGTGAGGCAGGCGCCGGAACCACTGAGCTAAATCCCCGGCCCTACTTAATGTAATTTCCATCTCCTTACAGATTAGATTCTCCATCAGCCTGAACAGTACACAGATGGCGTTGGGGTGGGCCAGGATGGAGCTGCAGGTCCTGAGGCTGATAGTGTGATTTTTCGGGAGGTGCCCTATGCTGGTCCAGCTGAGAAACCCAAAGGAACACAGAACCTGAGGAGTCAGGGAAGCCCTTCCAGTACCTGGCAGGTTTTGTAATATTCCTGCAAGGGTAAGGGGGAGTTTGTAATTGGAGCACACCAAATCGGAAATTCCTGAGAACAGTCCCCAGTACATTCTCTATTCTGTCTTTTAAGGTTCAGAATTGGAACAACACTAACAGGTAGCATAAAACAGTGGTACACAGGCTCTGGACTATGTGGTTTGAAACCCTACTTTGCTATCACCTAGCTTTGTGACATAGTCTCGTTGAATAAATATGAATGCCTAACACATATAGTCAATATAAAACCAGAAGTAAAAAGCCTGAACATTAGGATCTGGCCTACGAGGGGTGCTCTCAACAGTGAGCTAGTATCGTGTAGACTTCTTCTACTTATGCAGAAGCATAGTCTCTTACTATGGTCCTTCAGCTATATGCACACGGTTCAGCACTCAGAGGAGACCTGGGATCTCCACCATGTGAAGCCTTCCAGAACCCCCCTCATAGCCTCCAGGTTTGCCTAGACAGCCTTGAACAGCCTAACCTGCAGACCCTGGACCCAGGTCTGGTGACTAAGCACACCTGGGTGACACCAGCAAGGTGGAGAAGGGAAGCAGAGATGGAAAGTAGGGGAACATCTCAAGATCCTATAATTCAGCAAGGATGATCAAGCCTCACCCTGGAGTATCAAGGAATGAGCCAGTTTCTGTCCAAACCATTCAACTGTCAACAGTCCATGAAGATGCACTGAGAGGCAAGCTGGAGTTTTTTAGTTCTTAAACTTTAAACATCTTTAGCAAGGTAGTAAAAACCTACAGAACTCTTCTCAGAATGGTTTTTTTTTTTTCGTACCAGGGATTGAACTTGGGTCCTTGTGCTTTTGAGGCAGGCGGTAGAATCACTGAGCTAAATCCCCGGCCCCTCAGCATGTTTTTAAATACATAAAATATATAAGATTACAGAGGAAACAATCATACAGTAGTATACTTCTATCTTCAGATCCTTTAGGAGCTTATAAACTCTAAGTCAAAGACCCCCCCCCCCAAAAAAAAGGCTGAGGGTCTTGACAAAGGGGAGTGGTTCTGGAGGACAGTCATCTCCAGGATATTGCAGGCCTAAATGTTTACTTAAAAACAGCAATGTAAAACTACCAACTGCAGTCTTTTTCAAAGCACTTTCTTTTTCTTTTCTCTCCCTCCCTTCCTCTTCCCCTTCCTATCTGGACTGGGGATTGAAGCCAGGGCCTTCACAAAGTACTACATCCCCAGCCCTTTTTATTATTTTTTAAAACTTATTTCTGAGACAGTCTCAGTAAGGAACCATGATGAACTTGAACTTGTGATCCTCCTGCCTCTGCTTGCTGAGTTGCTTGGACCACAGGTGTGCATCACCATAGAATGCTCAAAGGACTTCAATTCTCTCACCTGCTTCTCACAATTTCCTGGTAGGAAAAAATAATTTTTCTCACAAAAAAGATCAACAGTAGAGTATTTTGAAGTCATCTAAGCCTAGTAGTTTGTAACTGAGGAGCAAGTCTGACACTGTCAGATATTTTTGGTTGTTATAATGGTGATGGGAATATTACTAACGTTATCTAGTGGGTAGAGGTCAGGGAAGTTGTCAAATATGCTACATAATACAAAGGAAAACCAACCCACTCTCAAACAAAGAACGATGTGACCCAAAACGTCAATAGTATTACTGAGAAACTCTGCTTAGCTTGATGGGAACACAAACCTGGAGAAAGCAAGGCTCAGTGAGATGAACGGACTTGGCCTAAGGGCAGTGTAAAATTTGACTCATACCCAAAGCTTCATTCTTTCCTCTATACCAAGAGGCTATCTGTTCTTTATGTTCTTGTGACTTTAGAGCCAGCAAAGTAAACAGGGTACAGGCAAGGGCATAGGACACAGAAAACCCAAGACGCAGGTGACTCAAGAGCAGGCCATCAGTGCTGCCAAGTGGCACAATATGAGGCTTGGCTTGTCTATAGCTTCTTGGATATAGTTATCTAGCTCCTAAAATGTCCATCCTCACCCCAAGTACTAACAAAATGACAAAGAAGGACACCCAAAGATTCCCAAGGGCTTCTACAGCACACAGTTATGTATGGACTGGCACAAGAGGAGGAAAAAAACTGCTTTCCAAACTTGCATGTTAAATTTCTAAGAGCTGTTGGCTTTACTTTTAAAAACAGCCTCTTGAGTTATGCCTCTGACAAATATTCACACGTGTCTGTGCACGTGTGTGGGTCTGTATACAGAAAGGAATTTTTAAAAAACTGGGTGGCAGTGTAGCTTATACTAAGCTTTACTCATAAAACATAAAAAAATTAACTCCTGCCTCAGTTTTAAAAAACATGAATTGAAATTACTTAATTGAAGAAAACAGTCCTCCAGAAGTTCCCTGTCAAGAGCATTCAGGCAAAGCTATCTGATTCAATGAGCCAAAAAAACTGAAGATTTTAGCTTATAGTAGCATGAACTAGCTCTGAAATACAGTCCAAATTTTTGGGAAGAGTATATAATCTTTTCTAAAACTTGACACACTCTCCAAATTCAGCATTCATCACTCACAGGAGTTTCTCCTCTCCCGATACATTCCATTTCTTCTCTTGCAAATTCTTCTTTTGTCTTTACCTTCAATTTGGAGGGTCTGCCCACTTCTTCTCAAAATGAACAAAATTCAGTCTTGCCCAGACGACAGAGACAGTAACTGACCATAATCTGCAATCATACAAATTCTTTCTTGCTGCTACACTATTTTAAGGCAACAGAACATCTGTGAAAATTCACATCATTTTCATATATTTAGTTCTATTTCCAGTCTATTGGCATGGGTCCCTTTAATAATAATAATTTATTCAAAGAAAAGAATCATAACATGTTAGATGCCATATAAGTTACCATGTTCATTTATCCATAGCAAAGAGTAGTCACAAAGTACTTCCAGCCTTTCACAGTTGGATATCTAATTATAACAAAACCATTATGGGTATGAATTAAAAGATTTCCCCAAAGCACAATATATTGTCTTTTATTTTTTTCTATTATTTGTGAAAGTTTTCACATATGCAGAAAAGGTGAATTATACAGCAACTACCCCCAGATTCTATAGTTAACATATTACTTAAGAAAAGTCTTCTGAAATTACAATTTTAGGTAGATCTATACTCTGGGGATCAAAAGCAGCATTTCTGATTAATTTACATACAGTAATGAAAGTCTGGTACTGTATTAAAAGCAGGGGAGAAATTTTTAACTTTACCAAAGGATTAGCCAAAAAATTCTTGTCAAAATAAACTGGGCATTTTTTAGACTCAGAAAAAAAAAGAAAACCTTCTCATTTTTCCAAAAAAATAACTGAAATTTCTCGAGAAACTGAATGAAACAGAAGTGAGTTAAATACCATTAAAAAAAGAAAGAAAGAAAGAAAACAGATGAAATGGCCTAGACACTGACAAAAACATTTCAGTTAGGGAAGCAGTATCTGGACCATAATGAATAATTTCCAACCATGAATGCCATACAACATGCACTGCTCACCTGCACCAAATGTGCCTGATAGTGTTCCAGAAATTCTAATCTGTCCCAGCTCTGACACAGCTGACTCTGTAGTGGAAAATACACAGGCAATAAAACAGTCCCTGTAACAGTGAACAGGGGGCCCAGCCCAATGAAAACTAGAAATATACAAACTGGGCAAGGTGATACATTTAACTTTTTATTCTGTTTTTTTGTTTAAGGTGAAAAGAAGTCAATTAAGCGATTATATCTGACAAATTTGATAACACTGATAGCCTGTTGTTTATAATGCTCTCTTCCATTAATATAAAACAATTTAGAAACATCATTATACTTGTCTTCATATTTCTGAGGTAGAAGCCATGTAACACTATTCCCTATTAATCGACAAGAACTGAGGTACAAATCAGTTATGTGACTTGTCCACAGTCCTAATAGGAATCAAACCTGTAGCTGGGAATTAAGGCCCAATCTTATGATTATCATATATACAGTAACCATGCTCTCAGACAGCACTAAATACAAGAACAATAATTCTTTAAAAATTATGACATATTGGCTAAAGCGTAAAGTTTTGTTAGCGATTGTTCACCAAAATAAGAATAGAATTGCCCAGGGTCTACTGAGGGCTGGTTGCACACAGCAGCTGTAGGCAATGCGATCATCACACTTTCCAGTTCTCAACTACCAGGCTTCCAGAAGCAAGGATGGAAGGACAACTAGGAGCAAGAGGGAGCAGGTCTCTGCTGGAGCCTTTCTACTGCATCAGTTACTCTAGCAGGCTCAGTTTCCACTGGGTTCTTCTGTTGATCTTTGGTGGTACGAAAAGCTCAGCATCTTTAAAAAGGAAGGGAAATTATGATAGACACATAATGGTGAAAGCTGGGGCAACAACTCTATGCTACACAAAGTAGGTGACTAGGTTTTGCAGCTATAAGACGACCATCACGGTCATAGTTACTGTGCCTGTTACCCTTGTAACTTCTGAGTTAAGAGTCAGGAGTTCCTGCCCATAAAGGGGTGGCATTGAAATGGCATTGAAAGTAGATATTCAAAGTAGAGGAATGTTCTACATTCAACTGGAAAGGGGTAGTAATGATTACATGCAGAATATATTTATTAAAATTCATTAAATTACATATCTAAGATCTGTGCATCTTCCTATATGTCAAATTTATCTCATTTTTTTAAAGGACAAAAAAATATGGCATTTGCACTGCAAGTGAATGGACAGAAAATACTCTATGATAAAATTCTACAAACATGGTTAATAAAGATGACTCTTTAAACAAAAAAAATGGGGGAAGAATGCTGAGGGAGTGTTGGAGAAAAGTTCTGTCACTGTAACCTAAAACTTCTAGGTAGTCTTTCAGTTAGATTTGTGGAGTCCCTAACTAGGAACTGTATACAGGAAGCAGAGATATGAAAAAGTATGTATTTATGAGCATGTTCTTTCTTGGCATTCTTTATGATAATTAAACTTCCAGCACTATATATGACATAGACATTAAAAAATGATTTTTAAAGAATATCTAGCAATATGACCAAAAATCCTTAAGGTTTTTCTAAATGATTATTTTCCTATTATACATAAATACATGTATAGGTACACATGTCATATGACTAGAAATTGTCAAATTTTAATTTTCTTTGACATACTTTATGTCACATTTTCTGATTACCAGTTTTAGAATTATGCTTAAAATTAACTACTCTCTACCTCCATTATCCACCTCACAAAAAAAACAAAAACAAAAAACTACAGATAACAGCCCACCAGCCATTTTGGTTATATAAGAATACTGACAATGAAAAAAAAAAAAGACTACATAAATAAATTCATTGTCAACAAGGGCCATAAAGTGTCATAGAGATTAAAGTTTGAATGAGTTTCTCTTTTAAGAAACAAGTTAGGAAAATATTCTCTTATTTTAAAAATTAGACACAACTACAATTATATTTGAGTCTAAAGTTAACTGAGAATAAATACCAACTATTGACTTTTTGGTGAGAAAGTAATTATTCTGACAAACTGTATGACATTAGGATGTGACATCTTTCACATTTCCATGTTTGAATTTCTTGGTACAAAAAGAGTCATTTTTATAAAAAGTACTTTGAGGGCTTTTCAACTTTTTCAAGGAACTCTCAATCTTATAATAGTCACTTACAGCACTTATTTTATTAACTAGTGATTCCCACAAATCCAACTCAGCTATGACTCAAGCATTTTTCTAGTATCACTTTAATCCATTTTATGAAAATCTACATTTTTGCAAGACTCATAACCAATCTGCATGATACTGCATTGCACCAAAGCAAGAAACAATCACAGCAAATGGCCCATCCCATTGCTGATCCCGCTGAGGGACGGATGAGTTTGCCTAGTCACTGTTAGCTGGGGAAGGGGCAGCTGAGGAATATTTCAGTGGGACTCATCTTATGAGTAGTATCAATGCCAGTTTTTGGATAACAAGAACCTCTCTTTTCCTACACAATTTGTAGCCATGAGACACTGATAATAAACACTCAGATGAGGGTTCCTCAAATATTACAGGGTCTTTAAGGCTTAGATGAAAATGGAAATGTTTTTTGACATGAAGGCACCTAGAATATGATGGGGAAAGGTGTGACTGGACCTGTCTTGAAGGTCATCATCAGGCCAGCAACAAGGAGCACAAAAGGGAGGGATCTGACAACAAACAAATCAACTGCCAAATTGCCTCAGGTTCAAGATGAATTTTTAGCATCTCGGAAATAAGTGCATGAACTGAAATTGATACCAAAAGCAGCTAACCAGAGTCTAGGAGGAAGGGGAGCTAAGATTACAGTAGTTACTGGGTGAGATGAATGAATGAAGTTTGAATGGAAGCAGTACAAACTGTTAAAACTTAATTTTAAACTCCAAATGTCATCAAAGTGCTATTACAGTGCAGTATTTAACTGAAAAAATGTCAGAACATTGCCTGTTACATGCTGGAAAATGCAAATAATAGCTTTAAAACTACCAATTATTTTAGAATCACTAACTTTTCAAAGCCAAGAGAGACTGATATGCTTAAGTGATCCATCTAAAGAGCAAATACTGAAGTGCCAAATTTATGTCGAAAGTGTCTAACCAACTTTAAAAACAAAGCCTTTAATAACTATGGGTGAAACTTTTAGGAACATGATCTAATTGTGAACCATCAACAAAAACATTTTAGGTAATGCTAACTAAATTAAAAATTCACATAAAATGCTAATATTCTGTGGATTTGCCTTCAAATTACATTCTCAATCATAAAGGTGATAAAAAGGTCCAGATCACGAGCAAGGATTATGAAAATGTCCCCAAGATGTAATGCATAACTACCAAGAGCCAAACATGATGATTCAGAAGAATTTTCCAAATGTATATGGATATGCAGACCTTTCAGACTCAAACTGTGATGTGCATGGTATGGACAACTGCATGGCAGTTTCACTAAAAATAACTTAACTATACATTATAATGTCACTTTGGATTTTCCCCTATCAAACCCCCAGAAGCATTAAACTTATCTCCTAAAAATATAGTCTCAGTATTGAGGAATCATAGTAAGTACCCAATCTCTCCTTCTACTGCTGACCCTGTCAACACTTACAGATGTTTCTTCTGCTCAGTACCATGATCATTTATAGGGAACAGATACTAACCAAGGACAGGAACTGGAGTCTTCTGCTGTTGATAAGAGGCCATGATACTATTTGCAGTAGAATTGGGACCTAGAACCTAAGTAGAAAATAGTCTGTGTTAGCAATGATTATCTTATACTTCTGATGACTGTACAAAAACCAAAGGCCAAACCTCTAGCTAGGAGTAAATAACCTCTCATTTTTATTTTATTTTGGTACTGGGGATAAAATCAAATGTCACACTACCACTGAGCTATTAGTCCTTTTTATTTTATTTTGAGAAAGTCTTGCTAGTTGCCCAGGCTGGCCTTGAATTTGCAATCCTCCTGCCTCAGCCTCCCAAGCAGCTAGGACTACAGACACACATCACAACGCATGGCCCAGCCTATCATTCTTTTAGCATTATTCTATTAGTATGATGGATTCTCTTTTCCTATATGATTTTAATTTGCCAGTTTCTAGAGTTTCAACTCAGAACTCTTAACCTCCTTTCTCAGTGTGGGTACAAGGTCCTACAATGATATATGCTTGGCTTTTTCCAAATGAGCAAGCCATCTGAAGGGGAAAATAAGAGACCATAGAACACAAAGTATCAATTATATTCAGAGTTGTGGAAAACAGTCATTTTTATATTAAATATAAATATGTGCACCTCACATGTGGAATGCAAACTCTCCCCCAAGTTAAAGATGAAGCACAAAACTTCACAGGGTTTCCTGTGCCTGCAGCAAGCCTCGAGGCAGATGCCAACCCTGTTTGCCCTCACTCATCTATGCAAGCAGTGCCAGGCATAGCATTCTCAACAGTAATGCCATGCATTAAAAGCAGTTTCAAATATTTTGAACATATCCCATTACCATACTCTGCCAACCAACACAAAACACAAACTTCTTGGTCATTGCATCTAGAAGATTCAAGTTGGGGCCTTAGAAATTTATATGATGGGAAAAGAAGAGAGGAAGGGAGGTTTAGGGGAGGCATTCTAAATTGTTAAGTTCAAAACCACTGCGGCTTTGAAAAGGATGATCACGTTTCTTCTAGGAAATACCTGTTATAGTAAATTCAAGCATTTGTGGGGGCTTGGTTCTTAGGGTTTTTTTGGTACCGGGGATTGAACTCAGGATCTTGAGCTTGTGAGGCCGATGGCAGCACCACTGAGCTAAATCCCCAGCCATGTTCTTAGTTTTCTATGGTTTGCAAAGTCCTCTAGCCCCACCTTTTTTTTTTTGGTATCAGAGATCGAACTCAGGACCTTGCACTTGTGAGGCAGGCGGCGGAACCACTGAGCTAAACACCCCGCCCCAACCCCCACCATCTTATCTAACCATGAAACACCCAGGGGAAGTCTCCCCATTTCTAACCGAGACTTAGTTAAGATGATGTGAGATATCACAACCTTCTGTCTCTAAGCACCAAACCCAAAACCACCCTTCTACACACTGCTTGTGAAGCTGGGGCTGAAAGAACATTCCTGTTATGCTCCACCAATAAGGGACAGCAGATGGATGGTGCAAGGCTGGAGCAGCAGCTGTTCATTCCACTTTTCATTTATTTCTTTTTTTTTTGGTACTGGGGATCGAACTTGGGTATTTGCGTTTGCGCAGCAGGCAACAAAACCACTGAGCTAAATCCCCGGCCCTTCATTTATTTCTGTACACTTAGAACCAGCCTCATCATGCCTCCCAGAAATGTCAGGACCAGCTGACTGACACTTTCTTCTCAGAGGGTCCAGAACCAACTCTTGAGAGGCTCACCTCCGGGCCTGTAAACTATAATAATCACAAACACTCCTGTGTTCCCTCAGCCACAGGGGTAGAAGCTGCTGCTTCTCTTACTCCTCTGTGCCCCACTTTTGCCTTTTCGGTGCTCAGATGCTTACTCAATCCATGCATTAAGTTCAGTGCAAGAAAGGAAGAGCTGTGGCTCTTCTTCCCTTGTGGACCCAACTGGTCTACCAACCTTTCTGAATCCAAATCAAAATGCTTCACAATAGATTTCAGGGATCAGAGAGCAAGTAGAGGTATAAACAAACAGCTGACAATACATGCAAATTCCTAATAGGACACCAGGCTGCTGCCATCCCATCTGTGATTTCTAAATTGGAAGGTGACTGGTCAGCTCTGATCTTACCTTTCCCTTCTCTACCCTCTACCCTCATGGAAGACTTTCCCATTGTCTTGTCACCAGTTCAGACAGAGAAGGCTCATCTGAGATTCGGGCAGCCCAAAGAGGCACAGAGCTGTGGACTAAATTAGACATCTTTATTCCCAGGTGCTGCTCAGCTGCATGCACTCCTGTGGCAGTCCTCAGGTCCCTAGCCCATGCACCACTTAGCCATAGTCTATCTGTCCAACTGGTCTTGTGATCCCCAGCTACTGTACACCCGCAGCAGTCCTCAGTCCCCCAGCCAGCCAGCCCTCGTGGCAGCCAACTATATAGGAGTCTACATAATAGTGGTCATGTGCACTGACCTTGGTTATATCAGTTATTTACACCAGGGAATCAGGAGGTGCACCTGCACTAGAATTCCACTGACTCTAGATGTGCTATACACTGGAAATATCATACACACACACATACACACACATCTGAACAGCCATCTTGGGCTTCATCTTTCCCTACATCCATCTTTTCTAGATCAGTTACTTTATCTAGAAAGGAAAAATAATGCCCTACTTAACTTATGCCAAACACTCTTAACCACATTTAAAAAATTTAACATTTAAAAAATGTTACTAATGGCTTAAACATAGACCTAAGGCAACTATGGCAAGCGATGTTTTAAGAATATTTTACACTTTGACTTTAAGGAATTGTGACTATAATAACCTACACAAATGATAGAAAGAGGTATGCTGTCTTTGAGAAAACTTACAGGGATGGCTGAATTCTGCTGGTAGGTGAGAGTCCAAATTTCTGGAAGTGACCTTTCCATTAGCTGCAAAGTACTGTCAAAGGTCTTCTGTAATTCCCTTCCTTGCTGATCAAACTCAAAGAGAAAGAGTACCTTTAAAATACGATGTACTTCATCTAGAGAGAAGAAATTTTGGAGTGGTTAAGTTGTGTCCCCAGATCCACTGCTAGAATTATGCCAGTTTCTTTCTAGCAGAAACCTTCTAATATCACATTACAGTTGCTTTCTCCCACATTTTCTTCTTTATTTCCAAATGCTGGAGTAATTAAACACATCTACTATAAGAGAAAAAACAACACACTGGGAATAACCAGAAAGCAGCGTTGCCTAATCCTTTATCCTAGTTGAAGTGCTACTTTTCACAGTTCAATAAGGTGGATGTCAAGTGGAGGAAGGCTTCCAGGTTACCAGCTGAGAAGGGTTGTTACAGCAATGTGCAGTGAAATGACCCTTCCTGGTGAAAATTTTGTTCTCTCATCAAAATGGAAAAATTGTATCTGTTTAACTCTGCCTTATTTGTGGTGTCCATTTAGTATTTTCTGTGGTCAATCACCAGTACTAAAAACATACCTTTCAATTTTTCAATGCTTTGTACCACTTCATTTAATGCCTCCAAAAGGGCCAGGTCCTCCAGCGGACTCCCTTCTTTGAGGCTATGCTTCTTCCGCTCGGCTTTGCGGCGATTCTTAGAAGATCTCCTGTCAGAAAGATAGGTGTTTAAAAAGCTGCCTTCCCTGTGCTGAGCAGACAAAAATGAATGTACCCATTGGTCACCAACATACTGGGAAACCAGTCTACAAATAGTATTTGTATGGCATGGATGGGGGAAATGAGGGGGGGCCAGTTTTTAAGTCTTACGAGTAGGAAATAATAAAGAAAACCTGAAGTGTAATGTTTTTTCTTTGATGTTTTAATTAAAATGCAGAGTCAAATGAGGTAATATCTAGTAATATCCTGAAACAATGAACAGAAGAACAACCAATATGAATTTTATAATAAGAAACCAACAATTCAAGGCAACAAAATAAAATTTAAATAAGGAAATACAGACATATCAGATTAAATATGAATAAAATAAAATGAACATGAATCCCATTCTTTCCTCCCTCTGAGGTCTTTAATCTTGCTATTTAATGGGACTTCCTCTACCCAACTCGTAAAAGCCCAAGTCTAGCTGCCTTTACTACAGTTTCTGATCACCTTACAAAACTTCACAGACCTCCATTATAAACTCCTACAACACAGTTCAGTTTAAATATATCTTGCATTGTTTTATGTCTTCCAAGCTCTTATAACCCAAAATCTCCTTATAAGTTTTGGAAACATTTATTGCACTTGCATTCACAGCATATGAGTATTTAATAAATACTTCTGACGAACTGCTACACTAGGTAAAATTGTGATGCCTTGGCCCGGGGATTTAGCTCAGTGGCACCATGCCTGCCTCACAAGTGCAAGGTCCCTTGGTACCAAAAAAAAAAAAAATTGTGAACACTTATTTTATATTTTCTATCTTGATTTCGAGTTGAAGAAGGCTGTCTTCAAAACTTTTTATTTTTTCAATGCCTAGTCATTATAGTTACTTAGTATTTGTGCAATCAGTAAAAACAGATGTTATATAATCTGAGTCCCCAATATAAATGCCTCATGGCAGCATCAAGTCTAGTCTCATAGCTATGCTGGGAAAATCCTTGCACAACTTCCATGAAGTTGAAGGCTATTCCTTGAAGAACAGCCACTCGACTCCCACTGTACTGTCCTAGTAGAAACCAACCTCTCTATGCTTCTACTTTCTCTGCTTACGCAGCGGGTGATCAATGTGTTGAACAGATATGATACGTACGCTGATATCCTGGAGTTACTATGGGAATATTTGCCACTCATCTCGCTGCCATTCCCAACACTGCTACTTTCAGAGAAGAGATCTGACTCTTGACTGTGGGGTACTTCATCATCTAGAAAAGAAGAGGCACATGAAAACAATTCCCTGCTTCAGTGAAGTAAGTGAACTACAGTCAACCAGGACGTAAGAACAATGAAAATTATTATAATGAAAATTATTTTACAAAGTTGATCTCAAGATGAATGAGATAATATTAAATACAGTTTTATTATTTCAAATCAATGGTTTACCAAATCTCTCCTCTCTCTTCTCTCCCCCTCTCTCAGAAAGAAGGAAACTCATTTTGTGACACAGGAATAATCACTGCTCTGACTGGATGACAGCAAGTGGGACTATTTGGCAAAGCTCTACCACATGTGGTGGTGCCAGTATCCCACATCACAAGTATCAATGGGCCTTACATAGGCACTCACCTGGATTCATCTGCTGTGCTTGCTCCTTGAGCTCTCGAACCACCAGCAAGCGTTTTTTATGGAGACTGAATGTGGTAGTCTGAGCATCCAAAAATGCCATGTAATTTTTCTGGGCTAGGATACAGAATGCAAAATAATTTGAGCACGATGCTTGAGCAAAGAGAAAAAAACTAAGGGAGGAGGAAGTAAGGACAGATTAAAATTCAACAAACAAAGGGAAAGATTTGTTCTTTATTAATGAACTTAAAAATGAAATTCCACGCACAAGCACAAGGACCCGAGTTCAATCCCTGGTACCAAAAAAAAATAAAAAATAAAAAATAAAAAATTACAGATCACAGAGTTCATCAACATTATCCCAGAATACTCTCTAATGGTGAGGTATAGTGGCACACACAGTAAGCCAAGCATTTGGGAGGCTGAGGCAGGAGAATCAAGAGTTCAGGGTCAGCCTGGACAACACAGTGAGAACCTGTCTCAGAACGAACAAAAACAAAACAAAAATTCAGCATACTCTCTACCACTAAACTTATGAAATTATCTGAATAAAGGCTTGGTATCTAATCCCACAGAAGACTGGCAAATAAAAGGGGAGCACAGGAAGCTGTTAATAAAAACAAAGTTATTTAAATGTTTCTTCCATCAAAATGCTCATGGGTATAGGATAAATGAATGAAATGATTTCTGAAAATTATTGCCCAGTGGAAAAAAGTGACACTGGAACACATTAAAAAAAAAACACCCAAAATGGCACTAAGGACATATTTTATTAATAGGTATTAGAATTATCAGCATTTTTCTAGGTTCTCATTAGTAGTGAAAATGTGAGAGCTGGCTAGATGAATTGTTATAGGTTCAGGAAGGATACTCTCCTTATCTAGTTAGGGATAACTAAAGTAAATAATATAAAAAGTACTTGAACAACAGCTTTAATTAGGATAGAGGGAGAAGAAGGAGGCAGGATAAGAATGTGAATAAATATGAAAGTCAAAAAAACCAGACATAAAGGGCTGAGGATTTAGTTCAGTGGCACTGCACCTGCCTCGCAAGTGCAAGGTCCTGAGTTCGATCCCCAGTACCAAAACCAAACGAAACCAAACCAAAACAAAAAACACCAGACATTACTTTAAGAGGCAGAGCTTAAAATCAACTCTTACTTTCTCAGAATTCTGTAGGTCAACTGGATATTCTTGTTTTCTTTTGCTTTTAAGGGGTCCCATTGATCACCAGACTTTTCTAGAACTGGTAACAGTCATTGGTTCTCTAGGAACTATCAACTTCATTTGCAAACATTCTTTTTTTTTTTATTTTGAAAAATTTCAAGCCTACAATGCACACATACATACTCAATTTTACTTCTGTGACAACATTTGAACTTAACCTGTAGACATGATCATGATCCTTCATTTCCAAATGCTTCAGTACTTTTCTTCTTTTTTTTTTGGTACCACTGTGGATTGAACCCAAGGCCTCACACATATTAGGCAAGTGCTCTACCAAGGAGTAACGCTTCCAGTCTACCAGCCAGCCAGCCAGCCAGCCTGGCTGCCTATCTATCTATCTATCCATCCTATTTGTTTATTTTTGAGACTGGGTCTTGCTAGGCTGTCCAGGTTGGCCTTGAACCCGTGATCTTCTTGCCTTCACCTTCCAAGTAGCTGGGATTACAGGCATTCATCACCTCACCTGGTTCAGCATTTATCTCTTAAGAATAATAAGAACATTATCTTACACAACCACAATAGTGTTATTAAATGTAGGAAATTTACCCCTGACACAATACTATTTCTAATGTAGTTCATATTCAAGTTTATAAACTATTCTCAAATACAAGGATTCATTCCTCCTACCCAAACTGTGCGACCCTTCAGGGCCAGCAGCCTATAGATGCAGAGGCCAGGCAATAATTTGGAGCCAGTCTGCTCTGACACAGGAACTGGTAAGAAGAGATCCAGGGAAATGGGGCTGCCATAACACCAAACCTATGCATTACAAAGATCCTCAATCATGCTTTATCACAGGTTTCTAACATTCATATCTTTTGTATGTAACCACTAAAAAGTTTAGCATATCTAGAAAATTAGGACTGAGTCTATACAACATATTGTTAAAGAATGCAATAACACACACAGTGTCCTCTCTCACATCTCTCTTCTCCCATTCTCCATACTTCCAGGTGAGGAATACTATCCAAAATGCAACCCTTACCTTCTAAAATGGAAGGCTTTATGTTGGTTTCTATAATATCTAGTCTGTTATATTTGTACACCTAAAAGGAAAAACACAATAGTTTCAAGCAGAAAAACTAGATACTGGATAGTCAAGATACTTGGAAATATGGATCTCTTTCAGAAGTGACCAGGATACCTTCCTGAGAAGAAGGCTTTATATAAGGTAGCCAAAGAAATGCAACTCATTTCAGTAAAAAACAGTATTATTTCACAAATGGAGGGTGAATTCAAACATTATCAAGGATAAAATGGTTTTGAAAGAAAACATTGCTTATCCTTAGACCAGAATCCTGAACTACTTTTCTTAGTTTCACTCATTCAGAAGACAAAGATCTTATCTCCTTTATATTCTCTCTGCTTAGCCCCCAACATAGGGAGAATTTAAAGAATTCTCCTACCAGTCTCAGAGCTTCTTCCCAGGCAGCTCCTTCTAATAGCAAGAGCACAGCTTCTTCATAATCCTAACAAGCAAACAACAAGTAAGGCAACGGGTGAATGGAGTAAACATGTCAGATGTCATCACAATCTGCTACAAAACAGAACCCAGGGCAGCCTCCACCTCCTGGGCCAGCTTAATCCCCTACAGTTCCCATTCTCAGCATCGAGCCTAGCCTAATATACTCTGATATTAATCTCCATAAACGTTGATACAAAAGACAAAAGATGGGTGCTATCTTCTGAAGTGATGACAAAACAGAAGCTTAAGTATTATCTCTTTAATTTCTGGGTATCCAAACCATCATGTAGTCCTGCCAGAAATACCTACTTCCCCTGGTTTCACTAACAAACTTGATTTAGCAGGTTGGGAGGCTCCAAACTGTGAACAAGACCACACTCTGAAATCATGGCAGACTAGAATAGTTATCTTCTAAGGTTTTTTGATCTTTTTAACATTCTTCTCTCCAAGGTTATATTTTGAAAAACTAGAAAACCAAAAAATAATCAATGATGGTGAATACTTTTTCATGTGTTTATTGGCTATTTATACATCATTTTTGGAGAAATACCTACCCAATTCCTTTCCCTTTTTAAAATGGCTTTGTTTTTTGTTGAGTTATAGGAGTTCTTTATATATTCTAGATTTACAAATACTAATTCCTTCCATTCTATAAGCTTTCTTTTCATATTCTTGATAATCTTCTTGATACATAAGATTTTTGATATTTATGAAGCCCAATTTACAAGTTTTTACTTTTGTTTTTTGTGTGTTTATTTTTGTGTGTTTTGTTTTGGTGTTAATTCTAAGAACACACCACCAAAACCAATGTCATGAGGATTTACCTTTATATTTTGTTCTAAGAATTTTATAATTTTAGCTCTTCAATTTAGGTTGTGATTTATTTTGAGTGCCTTGCATTTTTTAAAACTCAGAAAATATCAAATAAAAATTTATGGATTCTCCTGAAATAGAGAAAACTATGAAAGATACTTTTTTTTTAATTTATTTTTTTGAAACATTTTAATCATTTTAAAATCTCTAAATACTTGATCACTTAAAGCAAAAGTAGTAACAGGTTATGAAATTTATAATGTATAGAGAATTAAAATGCTATGAACTTATATAGGACAAGAGGCAGAATGGAAGCATACTCTTACAAGGTTCTTACACTAGTATATACAAAATAGTGTACTATTATTTGAATGGGTAGTATGGTAAAAGAATGGTATTTACTCTAAATCCTAGAACTACTATTAAAATATTTAAAAAATACAGCTAGTAAGCCAGATTGATCAAAAGCAAATAAACAAAAAAGATACAAATAACCAATACTTGAGATAAAAGACAGGATATTTCATTACAGATCCTATGGACAACTTTGTGCCAATGTAGATTAAAAGGACAAATTCCTGAAAGATATGAACTACCTAAGCTCATTCCAGAAGAAACAGGTAACAATAAGCTTATATCTACTAAAGAAATTGAATTCATAGTGAAAAACATCACAAAGAAAACTTAGACCCAGGTGACTTACTGATAAATTTTACTACACATTTAAGAGAAAAAAAAAACACGTCAGAAGCTCAGCTGAGCTGGGAGATACGGGCTTTCAGGTGCTGAAGTAGCTGACCAAGGAAATAAATCAAAAATCAAAGGGCTGGGGATTTAGCTCAGTGGTCTCGTCGCCTGCTGCGCAAGCCCAAGGACCCGAGTTTGATCCCCAGTATCAAAAAAAAAAATAAAGAGTTAAGCCTTTATTAAGAGCAATGGCCGCAGATTTAGCTCAGTGGTTCTGGTGCCTGCCTCAAAAGCGCAAGGTCTGGAGTTTGACCCCTGGTACCAAAAAAACCCCAAACAAACAGAACTTCTTAAAAAAAAAGGGCCGGGTATTTAACTCAGTGGTTTCACTGGCTGCTGCGCAAGCACAAGGACCCCGAGTTTGATCCCTGGTATCAAAAAAAAAAAAAAAAGCAATGGTATAAGCTAGAAACTAACCCCAGAAAAAGCACCAACTCACTGTTCTTTCATTCTTTCCCAAGGAACGAACAACACACTGGCCCATGGTTAATCAGTACAGGCATGAAAGTTGTATCACTGTTGAGGGAGCCTGGAATAAAAGGGTTCAGCAGTTTTCTAGACCTTGAGGGTTTGCAGCAATGCCAATGGGGGAGGCTAAAAGTGGGAGAGTGCTGGCAGTGAGAGTGGAGAATGGGGTCCTGGGAGTTTCCCACTCTTCTCCACAGTAGGTCAAGGCAGAGGTGTCTGAAAACAACCTTGGCCCAAGGTTCAAAAGACCTAGAAAATGAGAGCACCAGGGCTAGGAATACAGATGTGGAAAGAACAGACCAGCCAGGGGGTGTGAGCCCTTGGCTGCAACTCCCTGTATATCTGTATTACACTGGCAGTATAGCATGTCTGGTAAGGGAAGAACAGCCTTTCCCCATGAGGGCTCCTAGGTAAATTGCTCATGGTCACATCCGAAAAATCCCATACATTTTTAACCAGGAGCTAGACTCTTCTACACAAACTTCCAGAAAACAAAAGAGTAAGGAATTCCCTTCATATTATAAGAGCACCATTATCCTGATACAAAATCTGACAAAAACATAAGAAACTACAAACCCTCATGAATACAATAACCCCCCAAATACTTAGGAAATCCTCTGCAGAGGTTCTATAATATCCTTATAAAGTTAAACATCCACTTACCATGTGACCTAGCATTCTTACTCCTGTATCTATAAAGATTTATATAGAATATCCATAGCTGCTTTATTTATAAGAACCCCACACTGGGAAAAAAAAATCCAAATACAGTATACATCAACTTGTGACTAGGTCCACAAATTATGATAATGTACACCTAAACAATGAAAAACTACTCAACAAAAAAGAAATAAACTACCGAAAAAGCTATACTGTGGATCTCAAAAGCACAATGTGAAAGAAATCAGACTAAAAAAATTACATACATATGATTCTATTTACATGAAATTCTATATAAAGCAAAACTTTAGTGAGAGAAACAGATCAGTGATTGCTAGAGGCTAGAATTAAGGAAGAAGACTGTAATAGAGAAAGCAGGCAATTTTTGAGATGTTAGAAATGTTCTATAACATGAGCATATAACATATGACTGTACACATCTGTTAAAGCTCATACAATTCTTCATTTAAAATTGGTGAATTCGGTTATATGTAAATACACAATTATAATTTTATGAACTACTCTTTATTTATAAAGAAAAAAGATGGCAACAACTTATCCATTTAATCCACCACGTGACATAGTGTACCTTTCCATTCCAACCATTCTACCCTTCCAGAAATTCACTGATGTTTTCAAGTTAATCACCCAATATATTTTCTTTACAGGATCTAATAATATAAAATTTTAGTCATCTTCTCTCACCTTTATTACATAAGACATACTGAGCTATCTTAAAAGGACAATTATGTTAAGTAAATTTACTTGCCAATAATAACCACAAAAAACTCTTGCACCAAAGGCCAAAGTCCTACAAAGAAGTAATCCCTGTGCAAACTATATACCTGTGTCCTGTTACTCTGTGGCCAGTGTCAATGCAATTCTATTATTTTCATAATAAAAAATTTTTTTTTTTTGGTACTAGGGATCGAACTCAGGACCTTGCACTTGTGAGGCAGGAGTGGTGCACTAAGCTAAATCCCTGGCCCTTCATAATAAATTTTATAATTCTATCAAAAGTTCATACAGGTACTTATCCTTATAAACTCCGGTAAAACTGGAACTCCATAGTTCTTTTACTTTTCACTAGTATGGCACAACCAGGACTGGGGTTGTACAAGGGAAGAGGTGAGCTTACCTGGGCATACTGTTCCAGAACTATGGCTGCCTCATTGTGCTTTCTCTGCTCAACCAGCTTTCCTGCCAAGAGAAGAATAAGTATTTGACAAGAGATTTTTTGGCTGAAGTGGTTCTATAATATGTCTTTGTTATGTATCAAACTATGGACTTTGAATTTCTGTGAGGGGAACAGGCATACATACTAGAGTCTTATCCTAAATGGGAGTTAGAATCTACATTTAGCACAGGATTTGAAAAATCATATAGTCAAAATTAGCCTTAAAAAAATACTTCCAAAGATATGCATATGGGAAACAGACCTGACAGCTCTCACTAATCTAGTTCTTCCTCTTAACAGAAAAAGACTACTGTTTCTTCCACTGAGCACTAGGTGGAGGCAGCTGTATTATGTTTGGGGCATTGCAGAATCTGTAGCTCCTAGAAATCATTCTCACCAGAGCTGCAATAAGGATTCCAGGGAATTTGAGGCCAGCCTGCACTGCATAGTGAGACCTTGACTCAAAAAACCCAAAGTAATGACAACAACAACAAAAACTCACACACAACACAAAGAGAGACAAACAAAACCCACATCTTACTAAAGGATAGGCAGAATCATATGCTTCCCATCTCATGCTCATTCCAGGGTAGTATATTTTCACTAAAAAAGGAGGTAGAATGGCCTCCACTATTTAATAGTTATCTTCTGCTGCGTATATAAAATGCCTAAGTTAAATAGGCACATAAAGTGGCTCCACCTTACCACATTGCTCAAAAATCTCTAGTCATTATCCTCCCTACCTTTTTTCACTTAACATGTGAAAGAACTGAGTGGACTTCATCACAAGACATAGTAAATAGCAAGCTGAGAGTTGCTACTAGACTTCCCCAAAACAGTGCTAGGATGTATAAGATATCAATAACATAAGAGTTTCAAAAGAAGTTACAATTGAGCCAGAATGAATTATTAAAAGAAAAGTAAGGAAGTCTCAACATTTGTTTAAAAAAAAACAACCAAAAAAACGGAGTTCAGCTTGGAAACTGAGAGTGATTAGAGAAGTCTATAGATCTAATAATTAAACAACAAAAGTGATAATCTCATATATTTTTATAATTCCACAGAAAAAGTAATGTAAACAATAAAGTAGATACATACATAAATTTAATAAACTATAATTTGGATTTTTTGCAGAGCTCCTTTTTAAAAAACCATAAATATTTATAAAACCTAATGGACATTATAGTCTGAATATCGTTCATCCCTTCTGAAAGGTATTTTGGAGTTTAATTCCTGTTGTGAGGTGTTTGGAGGATCACATAATCTGACTAAGGGATCTAGTGGGGCTTCTGGAGGTGACTGGGATTAGATAAGCTCATCAGGGTAGACCCCCATGACTGAATAATGTTGGCTTTATAAGAAGAGAGTAAAAGACCAGAATACACAGGTGTGCACACACTGCATCTCTCATCGACACAGGACAGACGTTCTGCATCAACTCAGGACATGGCCAGCAGGAAGGCCAGCACCAGATGTAGGCTCTCAACTTTGGAATACATCCATAAGCCCAAAAAACCTCTTTTCTCTGTAACTTACCTAGCCTGTGCTAACTGTGTTATTAGCAACAGAAAATGGACTAGGAAAAAAAGGTAGAGGACAAAAAAGCACACCAGTCATTCATTTCTTTCCAGCACTGCTGAGAGGCCCACAGCCTACTCACCTCTTCCCCTCTCAGGACCCAGGGACTATCCACGGTAATATCCTCACCGTTATTTCAGGCAATCACTACACTCTGGGGCTGCTAAACTGCCTTCACTTTAGATTGCGTGTATATTTGGCCTTTTCTTCCGCCCCATTCCTAGCAATTACCATTATGATTTTCAACAATCTACTGTCTATACCAAAATGGCTCATCCTCAAATTTACCTTTACCTTCTTATAGGGCATATGGCCACCCAGGTACAATATAACTTACGACTATAAGTTTCAATGAATGAGATGGACTAGAAATGATAGTGTAATTTCCAGGTCATTTCCAACTTAACAATTAACTGTTTTCCCACTACTCTGGCTTTCCTTCTCTTCCAAGAACTGGAATGCAGATGTACACATAACCAAGCTGTAACTATTTACCTAAGAGATCGCAGAGCCACACAATGGAAGAATCTATTAGTCCTTACATGAGAGAAATAAAACTCTTTTCTTTAGTGTGTCGTTATACTTTGGGGATCATTTTTTGTTTGTTTGGAGTTGTTTTTTTCAGAGATGGGAACTGACCAGGACCTTGAACATGCTAGGCAAGTGCTCTGCCACTGAGCCACATCCCCAATTCCCATTTTGAGACTTTTGAGGCAGCTTAACCTTTATTCTGCTTGATGGAGCATTCTAAACTAAGCGACTATGAGGCTGTCTCAAAATATGCTGCCTTTCACTTGCAAAATATCAAATAAAAGACTTCTGAAGAAGTGGACAAAATAAATGACCCTGCTTACCTGCCAGAGTCCTACTTAGATCACCCAGCTGGTCCTTGGTCAAGTGAAGCTGGGTTGCCATGCAGAGGGCTTGCTGCCAGCTGGCACAAGCCAGAAAGGCTGAGAGAGCTTCCTCATAGGCACCACAACGGGCAAACACAAGCCCTGCTGTCTCAGGCTGGTGCTCTTGTGTCAGGTGCTCCCCATAAGCAAGGCAGATAGCCTGTGACAAGAATGAGTGTCAATGAGGAAATGTGACAATTGTTTCTTTAAACCTCCAGCTCAGGCTGCCTTAGTCATTGAAGTCTTGAATGACTTGAGAGAATTCTATTATTGATGAGTTAATTCAATCCTTTTTCTATTCATAACCTTACTGGGGATGTACCATCTATTCACTCAACAATTACAAAGTACCTAATTATGTACTATTTCTAGGCAGTGGGAATGATACACAGATGCAAAAGTAAAGCCAAACAAGAAACACCACCAGGTTCCTGCTCTTATGGAAGTAGAGAATGGGCTTACTGACACAATACAGCCTACAATATGATGGCTGTAAAGAGGGGAGTAAAGGGACAGAGAGTGATGGAGGTGCTATCTCTGAGAGAGGGCCCTGAGAAGAATGCATGTGAAGAGTGGGCGGGGGGTGGTATTCCCCACCAGAATGCAGGCAAGGTTCCAGGGTCTTCAGCAGGAATGTGCATGGCATGTCTGAGGAGTAACCAAGGCTGCTATGACTGGGGCAGAGAAAGCATGGGACAGAGGAATAGAAAACAAGGACCAAGAGGTAAGCACCCCCCAAATTCTACACTCCCCAAGCTCAATGTTAGGCAGAGACAGAACACAACCCACAGCCTGGTAGGGGAGACAGCAGAGAACCAGCAGTTTGATAAATGGGACTACCAGATAAGAACAGGGTGCTCTGTCAGTTTGTAATAGCTAAAACTTGGAAGCAGCCCAATTCCCCATCAACTGGTGACTGGATAAAGAAACTGTGGTTTTTTTATTAAATGGAGTACTACTCAGCCATAAAAAATAAGAAACTAGGGACATTTATAGAAAAAATGGATGCATATTGAGGCGATACTCATAAGTGAAATAAATAGGACAGATGTATAAATACCGAATAGTTTCTCTGATGTGAGAAACAAAGTTTAAATAAGGATCAAAATGTATAACAGATAATGTGAAATAGAAAAAAGAGGTCCAAGGGGGAAGTGAGAGGGGTTGGGGAAAGAAAGAAGGGAAAGGAATAAAAGGAAAAAAGGAGAAAAGGAAAAAAATGGAAACAAAGTCTTTGTAAATAGGAAGAGGTGGAGGGGTTGAAGGGAGGGCAGGGGAATGGGAAAAAAAATAAGAACCAAGATACACCATGTAAAGGTACAAATTCCCAATGATGAATGTCATCATATTGTATACCTAACATGTACCAATAAACTTAATGAATAAAAGAAGAAAGAACAGGGTGGGAGCTCAGTGTTTGGTATCTTGTCCAAGAATGACTTTCCAGAGGGGACCAAGTTTCTATGAATAGCTGGGGCTACAGGAAGGAGGGCAGACGGCTGGCAGAGGCATTACACAACATAACATCTGCGGAGCTACACACAAGTAACGGGGAGTGTGGAGAGTGGCAGAAGGTGGTGCTAAAGAAATCGGCAGGGACAGAGAATGTGTACATAATATGTGAACAACTGAAAATAGTGATGACAGTGGCACGGTACAGCAACAATTAATGACATGGCCTCAGTGGTCACACAGTCTGGGCTGTGTATCCCAAATCTGCTACTTTGTAGCTCTGGATGCTCAGGTAGGTTGTGTCCTCATCTGTGAGCCGGGCACCACACATAAAAATCAGGAGAGCCTCATTTCACATACCACATATCACACACCTTGTACTGCTGTGAGTTTGGTGGATAAAACTTCAGAGCTTCCTTATACAAGTTTTTATCTTTTATTAAATTTAAGCATTCTTGGAAGTATTCAGGTCCTGCAGGAATAAGATTCACACAAACATAGGCTTAAGACTTTGGAAGCATACTGGATTTCACTTATATCAGTAGTTCCCAAACAAAATTAAAGTAGGACCTTTTTAACATCCAATAATCCAAGTATCTGGAGAATGAACTACAGGAATTTGAATTTTTAACAAGCACCACTGCAAATTCTGAGGAAGGAGGAGCACTGGTTGGGATACTTAGGGACTCTACACTATCCTGCTCAGTGTAGTCTCAGACTCTTTGATAAGAATCATCTGGGGATCTTATTAAACACATGGCTCAGTCCTCCCTCCAATCAAAATTCTTCAAGGAACCCAGAACAGGATGCTGAACAAGCACTCAGGTCCTTGTCCCCACATCAGCCCTTAGGAAACAATCAACTGCGCCACCACAGGACGGGGATGGGGTGAAGGACATTAATGGGTATTGTTTTGGGTTGTTTTTTCTTTTTTTTTTACTCCATCACTGCCAATTAAACTTTCAGAGAACTAGAGGGAGTCTCAGTGCCCACTCCAGACAAGGTGGGGCTTCTCTCAATGCCCAACAGACACTACAAGAGTGATTATCAACAACTTTTACTCTGAGGCACTGAAGTGAACTTAGGAGGTCCTCAATCTTAACCCCAAAAGAATCTACTCCATGTTCTTTCTCAGCTAGGGAATAGCTCTGGTTTGGCAGTAGTGATTTGCCTTTCCCTCAGTAGATGAACATACAACATAGTTTTCAAATCAGAAAGTGAAATCAGTTTCTAAAATAATCTTTTATTTTAATTTATACCTTGGCTAGTTCCAAGGAAGACCTGAAGCAGAAACAAACATACTAGCCCTCACACTTACCACACTTGCTAAGGTGGCCGATGGCTTTTTCATACCGTTTCAAGTATTTGTCTATAGTGAACCTCTGGTAATTAGTTTCCATTTTCTTAAGCGAATTAAGAAATGGAAGATACTCTTTGGGATCCTAAAAAAATAAGTGAGGGGAACTTTATTACTTTTAATATTTACATAAAATATATATACAACATTCAATTATGGCAATAAGTCCACAGCAACATAATTTTAAATGTGTATACAGTAACAATTACGTTATTTAACACATAAAAATCAAACTACATCAAGCAAATTTTGGTAAAAATGTTTTCACATATGAGTATTATTAGTTTACATCTGAGAGAAGGACTAATCCTTAACTAAGTCTCACAATAGCTATTCATTTCATAGAATAATAAGGAAAGTTAGGTGGTAATCCAAAAAATGCTTGACAGATGTACCCACATTTCTTCTGAAAGTGAGAAGCATTGCTCTTGCTGCTGGTTTCCTGACATTCCATGCTCGCTGTTTACAAACAACACATGTTGAATAAATGTATAATTACACTGAGTTGGACACAAAATTGATATTCATTGGCACTACCATCTCCAGCTCTGTGCCATGCCCTGTAAGCAAATTGTTTTTCTTCCTAAAGAGATGGAGCTGGGAGTAGCGGTGCATGTCTGTAATCCCAGCATTCTGGGATGCTGGGGTGGGAGGACTGTAAATTGCTGGGCCTGGGTAATTTAGCAACTTAGTGAGACCCTGTTTCAAAAGAAAAAAGTAAAAAAGAGCTGGACATGAGTTCAGTGCAAAAGCCCTGGGTTCAATCCCCAGAGCTGCAAAAACAAAAAAACAAGACAGTAAATAATTAAATGATGATATATTGAACAAGCACTGAATAAGTACAAGAATGCAACAAAACCCTTAATCTCAGCAAATTTACACCCTAAAAGGAGACAGACTGTGCTATGCTATGTAGGAGTAGCCCCTAGGGGAGCACATGTCTCTGAAGTGGGGCAAGAATGGGGCTTACTGGGTAGATGCTACCTTGGCATTCTTCAACACAGTTAAGAGAGAATTAGCCAGGCAAAAGGTGAGAGTAGCTGCAATGGAAATCTTTGGGCCCATGGAAGGCAGAAGTAACACTGCCCACAAAAGCATGTGGTGGCTGGTGGTGATAAAAAAGGAGGGGAGAAGGACATATGCACTGCCTTTCCTCCAGGAGCAGAGAGAAAAAGATATGCCAAAAGATGAGAAGGAAGAGATGCATATACATCAGACCACAGAATGGGTTTCTAAGCAATGTTATCACTTCTCAACTTTATCCCAGGGACAATGGGTATAATTCATGAAAGATTTTTCTTTCTGGAAAAATTGCTCTGGCAACAGAAAAGAAAACACTTGAGTTTGCAAAAAACTCAAAACAAAATGAAAAAACAGATTAAAAGATACACAGACCAGTGGTGCTCAAACTTTTTGACTACAGATGTTCTAAGGTGGGAAAAGAGGCCCTGAGCTTTTCCATCCTCCATGTTTTCATTCTACACTGGGAAAAAGAGCTACACAATAAAGAACTAGATTAGAACATGAATCACTTATTATATTTTCTTGATAAGAGAACAGTTCGTGCATATGCCTGTAATTTAAAAAACAACAATTTTATTTCACCTCTTCAACCTTATGTGTGGTGCTACTGATTAAACCCAGTGTGCCTTGCACATGCTAGGCAAACAATCTACCAATGAACAGCACCCCCCAAGTCCTCAACACATTGATAAGCACAGAACTACAACAAAGAATGAAACTTAGGAGTGTGGGTCCTGCAGGCTTATAGATTTGCCCCGCTCTGTACTCACAACATAACATCAGACAAGACACTGCACTCTCAGAGGAGAGGTTCATACTACTGTGACTACATAAACATGACCTGCAATGATGCAAAGTAAGAACTCCACATACCTTCTGTGACTTTTCAGCTACCATGATGACCAAATCAAAGTCATAGGTCCCAAGAGAATAATCATACAATTCATTAACATCTACCAGAAGGAACAAATACTTCAAGGCCTCTTCTGCACTCACACCATCAGGAACAGATGAACCATTCTCTGTTGGTGTTCAAGGAAACAAAACAGAATCACTTGAAGGAAAACCTAAAGACCTTACAAGGCAGAGAAATAGACCTTTTTTGACAGAACTGGACACCAAACCAATATATATTTTTGGCTCTTTCATACATGCTTATAGGGTACCACTCAAATACTTGATACAGGTCTTGCTTTTTTTTTGGTACCGGGGATTGAACTTGGGTCCTTGCGCTTGCGCAGCAGGCGGCGAAACCACTGAGCTAAATCCCCAGCCCATTTGATACAGGTCTTAAAATGGCAACCACAGGGCCACATGTTAACTGTGAAATGTGGCAATGACACAGCAATGTCATCTGCAAATGACCAGTGATAATCAAGGCCTTATTAAACATTCTGGGAGCGAGTCTCTACCTTGAAGTTCGTGTACCTTCTGCAGCACGATTTCTAGTTCTGGGGTAGTTTTCTTCACATGAGATGTGAGTATTGATAGGCAGTACCTGAGACAGTAAGTGAAGAACAGTAGAATTAGAAGGATAAGCTGGATAAGGACAACTACCCATTTCTGTTATTTCAAAGATGCCAATAATGGCAGCACCCATACTTGTGAGGGTTAATGCTCTCCATGGCTGTTCTCATTGCATCACAGATAAGGTCAAGTTTTTTCTCGGCAGGATCCACGGACAGATGGGTGCTGCTGGTAACTGAAGGAGGGTACATGGTCTTTGTGACATCTTCTTCCCTAAGAACAAATATATATGAACAGGTCACTAACTAGACATGTGGCTCAGTGATCAAACTACTATACATAGCTAACAAGTTGTTGAGATAAAATAAGAGCAATAATAATTTCAGGCATAAAGAATTCAAAATTTTCTTTAAAAATGTTATGTAAGAAAGAAAAACGGAATGATTTGCTTTACAATACTTTTTCAGTCAGGGATCTATCTTAGACATGCAAGTCTTGGAAAATTCTCTGAATTTTTGAAAAGAGTTTAAATATAAAAATTATCGAGACGTGAAACAGAAGACTTGTACAATAATGTTCGTAGATGTTTTATTCATATTAATCCCCAAAAGACACCCAAATCAAGGTGTTTAATAACTGGAGAATAAATAAGCAAATGGGAGTATATAGACAATGGGATATTACAAAGCAACAAGAAAAGAATGAACTAGTGATACATGTGAAAACACGGATGAACCCCAAGACAGTTGTGAAAGGCTAGGTGAAAGCAGCTTTATTTACCCAGAAAAGTAAATACTGTATGACTCCATTTTTATGTAGTTCTTCAATAGGCAAAACTGACCCACAGTGAATAACTCACAATAGTAGTTGCCTAAGTAGTGCCTATGTAGTGCCTATGTAGTTATGTAGTGCCTAAGTAGTGCCTATGAGACATAGGCACTAAATAAAGAGGAATTTTAGGAATTGGATGGGAAGGAAATGCTAGCTTGATGAGTGATTTGTGCCTTTCACTGCAGACAAATTTGCCCTCCCCCAAAGAACCTAAACTAGCCTATACACAAAGAATACACTCTAGTTAATGCTATAGAAGGTGAAGTCCTGAGAGATTACATGGAACTGATGTCTACAACTTACTCTGACATGAAACAGATGGGTGGGTGGACAAATTATAGATAGTGATAAAGCACATACAGGAAAATTTGAACTGGAGATTTAGGGTCATAAGACAGGACATTTCTAGACAATTCTTTCAAATTTCCATATGTTTAAAATATTTAACAAACTGGAAAACAATTATTGCAGGCAAAGACACCATTTGATCTCAACTCCCTAAGAGAAACAAAGTTTTAAATGTACAGCTAAAAATCAAGGTGAATAATAATTTTGAATGACAGGTTTTAAAGCCATAGTTTTAAGTAGGCTATTTTTAAAAGAGAAAATAACAAAAAATCTGGCATCTAAGAGTTACAATGATTTTTTAAATGAGCAGTAATTTCTCTAGCTATTTATATTTGATTTCCTTAAAAAGATAAAATTTATGAATTATCAAAATACTTACTTCAACTCTGTGAAAAACAAATTAATACGATTTACAGAATCTATCTGTCTAATGAAGGTTTCCACATTTTCAAGAAACACCTACCAAAAAAAAGACAAAACATTTTGAATGGGATCACATTAGTTCAAATATATAGTTAGCTGTGGTAAATGTTAGATTTAGAAAATTACCTTAGGGTTATGGTCATGAATCAGATTGAGATTAATTCTCAGTTTTCTCATGCATTCAAATGCTTCTTTAAACATCAGCCTATGAGGAGACAGAATGGATGGAAAGAGTATATCACAAAAAGTAACCTCCCTGGCCTAGCATATTTTCATTATGATACAAACCAGTTATAATCCAGAAAATTATCAGATAACTGAGATCTACTGTTTTAACCAAATATCAGCGGACAACTATCTAATACAAAGTTTGCTCCAATAGACTCAGAATTTTGATCACCTCACAACAATAACCCAGGCTTCTCTAGGTCAAGACTCCTCTACAAATCTGTTAAAAGCTATTGATAAATACACACAGATAGTTTGCTGTACAATTTCCATGGTTCACAGGCCACCTAAAGTCCATTCAGGTCCTTTTGAGTTAAGAGAAGCCCTCCTTTAGATGATGAGTTTCATGATTCTTTTTGCTATGAGTGTCTACTACAACATATAGTTATTAGGGTCATTAGTACAGTATTTAGGGTAGTAATACAGGATATTTCTGGACAGTTCTTTTAACTTTACCATATGTTTAAAGTATTTAACAAATTGGAAAACAATCATTGCAGATAAAGTCACCATCTGATCTCAACCCCCTAAGAGAAACAAAGTTTTAAATGTATAGCTAAAAATCAAGGTGAATACTAATTTTCAAGGTGAACAATAATTTTCTGAGATTTTGACTGAAGATATCTGTAATAAAAGTTTTTTGTACTGGTAAGTTGTAAAAATTATATTAAAATACTCATTGTCTACAAGCTAGAAGCTAGTCATACACATGGCACTTACTTGTCCAACCACTTCCGAATCTGAGCTAAAACCAGGGCTCGATGATGAACAACTTCTAAATTCCCCCTTGGCATCTTAAAAGTAAATAAATCAAAACAATAATATTTTTAATTAAGTGGAAAAATATGAATAGCAGCATACATAATTTTACCTAACTCCTCATTAAGAACTTTCACAATGCTGCACAAGCAATGAGCACACTTGTAGCAGAATCTAGATGTGCTCAGTATTTATCTGACTTTCAAGAAAAGCTTCCCTTTGAGCCTTACTAGTCAGAGCCTGTATCAACACTCCATTGTATAAACCTAACAATCTACCAGGAAATTACAATAAATGACTTAAAAGGATAAATGAGCCTAAAATAAAATCTGCAAGAATTCTGTCAGTGACTGAATGACAATCACAAAGCCTGAAAAATGAGCGTACCTGTAATATAAGCTTTGTGTCCTGAGGCACAACTGTGACAATCCGTGAACCCCTCTCCACCTTCCGCAGAACTTCCCCATTAGCCACATGACTGCTGCACAGACTTGCCTGCAATGCTAAAAATACCAGTAGCTAAGCCTTGAAAATTATCATGACAAGACACTCTGCATTAACCGCAAATGAAATGGCACACATTAACTGAAAGAGAGTAATTAACAACCAGGTCTCTATGCTCTCCCACTCAACCTCAAGATTATTAGCCCATGTGATGAACAATTTCATTCCTGGAACTTGCCCTCACTCTTACAGAGCTGTCCAAATTCTCAAACAATTTGGAAAAACATAGGGGCATCAGGACAGCTTCCTCTACTTCACAGCATCACCAGTATACTATACTCATATCAAGAAAGACCCTGCTTCCAAGTTAGTAACAAAGAAAATAAATGCACTTTGGGCCGGGGATTTAGCTCAGTGGTTCTGCCGCCTGCCTTGCAAGCGCAAGGTCCCGAGTTTGATCCCCGGTACCAAAAAAAGAAAAAGAAAATAAGTGTGCTTTTTAAAACAATGAAGCCACACACAGACACATGGGGCATGGAACAAAAGAAAAATGGAAGCCAATATCCTACAAACCATAAGATGAAATCCAGAAGTACAATGGAAGGTGGGTTAATGAAAAAAGAAAGGGCCGGGGATTTAGCGATTCAGTGGTTTTGCCGCCTGCTGCACAACCCCAAGAACCTGAGTTCGATCCCCAGCACCAAAAAAAAAAAAGAAAAGAGAAAGATTAGAACCTAAAGTTAAAGCATACTGCTAGTTTGGGATCTAGATAGTAACTCAAAGTAAAATATCAGATCAGTTATATAAAAAAATTTCATGAAAAATTCTTATTTAATTTTAGAATGTGATACTTAAGGGAGGACTTCCATATCTGGAAAACTTCTCTAACTGGTACAGAATGATTTAACTGAGATTAGAAGCTAAGTAAATGAAATCTAAAAGTTTTCTCCAGCCTACGACTCCATGGCAAAAAGCCAAAGTAGGTAAAGAAGTTAAGTCTTCAAGACTCCAAATGACAAAAGACACTGCAAGAGGGCTATCTCTATTTTATACATTGAAAACTTACTTTTAAATGAAGTATCCCTTAGGGAAAAACACTGGCAGGTATGAGAATGGGTTGTCAACAATAAAAACTCATCACATACTGTGAATGATGTGATATTTGATGCAACCTGCAACAAGGAAAAAGAAGCAAGGGGGGGCATTAGCGGTATTATGTAGCACAAACTGTGAAAAGGATCCAACATCCAACCAAGCCTTGATACCTCATTGTCACTGATGAAAAAGCGACACCTGTCAGTCAGACCAAGGACACATTCCTACAAAGAAACCAAATATAAATTAAATGCAATTCTATTTCAAACTAGTGACACCTAACCTCTTTATTACAGAGATCTATTGTTTTATGATTTCACACCTAAGTCCTCATAACCAGAACTGAATGTAGATGCCCAAGATGGACTGGTCCAATATGAAATGGTGTATGATGCCACCCAGTCCATCAGCAAGTCCTGTTATTTCTATCTTCTCTATTGATCTTGAATACATCTCCTGTCCTAAGTCACTGATTCCTCTATGTTGATCTTTCATTCAACTCTCACACCTCTCCAATCTACTTCTCTGGGCAGCCAGACCACCTATCAACTATGAAGCAGAACACATGACTCAACTGACTGAAAATCATAAATAACTTTCTGTTGCTCAGCTCCAGCCACACTACCTCCACTGAGTCATCTGAATAAAATGAGATCTTTCCAAACTCAAGATGTTTCTAGTTCTTCTGCAAACACGCTTTCTAGTGACAGCTTTCTTCTTCACATTGCAGCACATACATCACTGCCTCAGGGATATTTTCCTGTACCACCAAAAGATTCCCATCTTCCAGCTATCATTCTATAACTGTTCCCAAGTACTTCATTATTCTCTATCATTATATCCTATTGATTTCTTTCATCTCCCATCAGAAGCAATAATTTTACCGAGATTGATAGAAGAGGATTGACTCAGTTGTTTTAATTTATAACCACTGCATCCTACCACTTCTCCAACAGACATTCTAACATTTGATGAATGATAACCTAGTGAATATTCTTTTTGAATTCACATTTGTTGTCCTAAAAAGCTATCTAGTAAAACTAGTTTTGAGTATTTTGTTAAACTAGGGATAAAATCTGCCAATCATATACAATATCTTATTTAATTCTCATGAATCCCAAAGGAAAGATGCTGATTTTCTCATCTTATAGATAAAGTATGGATCCACAAAGTGAGATACTCTCCTACTGTTCCCTTGGGATTTACTGGAGACCCAAATCTAACTCCAAAGCCCACACTCTTTCCACCTAATACCATCAGTCACTGGACAACTATTTTAAGAGATAAACTTCCTTATCTTGTGTTCACTTACCTCTCCTCCAATCACAGCCAATTCAGTCTGTGTGCATGGATAAGGAAATCGAACAGGAAATCCACCCAGGCTCTTCCATGGTTCAACAGCCAAAGAAGGTGACTCTGCAAGATTGGCAGACCTGGTTTACAAAGAGCTGATTGTATCTTTTTTAAAAAAATAAAACATTGACACCAATACTTCCTAAAATACTTAATACACAATTTACATCACTCTCAAAATGTATTTTAGAAGGTCATTAGGACACTCTGCTCATTATAAGAAAAAACAGAAGATACTTTCCAATTCTACTCTATAGTTTATAGAGTTTCCAGGGTTATTAAAAGGCTTAGCCAACAGGCTGAGGACGTAGCTCTGTAGCAAAGCAATTGATGGGTTCAATCCCCAGCACTTAGGGGAAATAAAAGAGCCCTGACAAGATACTGATACAATACTGTCAAGTACAAGATACTGACAAGTACATGTTCTCAAGAATTAAATATTGCATAAGAGCTAGACATGTTTTCCTAAAACTTTGGTACTTACCCCAAAGGAACTTAAGTATCTGGCCATCAGCCAGCTGCAATGCTACTGACTTGGTCTTAGAACTGTGACACAGACTGATTATAATCCCATCCACTGTCACAGATGAGCTACAGAAAGTTTAAGAGGGTGGAGGAATAAAGACACCATTACTCTCAAAAGCAGAGACATTTCACTGATTTTGCAAAACAGAAAAAAAAAAAAAAATATATATATATATATACACATACATACACATATATGCAATTGCTCCTTGGTGCTGCACTGCCAATTTCTTTTTTTTTGGTACCAGGGATCGAACTCGAGTCCTTGCGCTTGCGCAGCAGGCAGTGAAACCACTGAGCTAAATCCCCAGCCAAAACATTTAGCATACTTTTTTTTTTTTTGGTACTGGGGATCAAACTCGGGACCTTGCGCTTGTGAGGCAAGTGGCAGAACCACTGAGCTAAATCCCCAGCCCTGCACTGCCAAAAAAATGTATACATTGTGGGGGGTGGTGGGGGGGGATGACTTGTATAAATATTTTAATACTAAATTTATTGAGAAATCATGACAGTAATACAAGTGACCTTTGGCCTCTACAATTACAAGAGGTGGTCAAAGTGGAGGCCATTAGCTTCCAGACATTTATTAGTATGGTGAACTGCTGAAGTATGTATACATTTTTTTGGCAGATTCTGTATATATACTCGTATATGCACACATAATACTAAGTGTACACACATACAGATACAGACAGATAGATGGAGAGATAAATTATTGTAAGTCTAAGCCCAATGAAAGCAGTTACTTGTTACATAACACTATTTTCTGCAAAACCAATAAGCTATCTACATTGTAAAGTCATCATTCCTATTTTGGCAGTAACTTACTATAATTTAATGCCTTCATTAATATTCCATAGTATCAATATCATTGTTCTTAAACCATAAATTGCATGAATAAACTGGTATATGAAAAAAGGACACACTCATTTCTCTATTGCTGTCATAAGAAAAACTGTATTAAAGAGAAGAAGGAATCTGTTATTGCCATTATTTTTTCCACAGTCTATGAACAGAGAGAAGTAAAATTTCTTAAAAGAGGTAGCTATAAAAGCAAATCATACCACGGCTAACATTTAATTCAAAGAGGTTTTTGGGCCGGGGATTTAGCTCAGTGGTTCCACCACCTGCCTCACAAGCACAAGGTCCCAAGTTTGATCCCCGGTACCAAAAAAAAAAAGTATACCTACAGAAAATGTAACCTATTAATTGCTATAAACTGAGGGACAGTCCACTCCTTAAAGACATATTTTACATGAACAAAATAGTTCCTGAAAAACAAAAGTCAAAGCAGTAGAAAAATATTGCAAATGACCTTATTTCTAAAGGAGATGACTACATCTAGCTTTTCCTTCTTCAAAGTAATGATAAAGAACTTCAAATCTGAAGAATAGAAATTTGCATAATTTAGACATTTCTCATGTAAACTGTCTGCTTTCAAAAAGCTGGTCAACTTTGAGTGATGTTTATATACATCAAAATATCGTGAAACATTATGAGTCAAACATGAGAAGTAAATAACTTCATTATAATGTGTTTTGTGTATATAATAAGGAAAGGTTCCTAATTTTGTCAACAAGGTTCTCCAAATATAAATCTAACCAGTAAGGCTTTAATTACAAATGATTCTGGGAATTACAAACATAACTAAGTTGCCAATTCTTGACTCTGGAATCCAGAGGTGTTTGGAGAATTAGTCAGAAAATACTATCAACTGCATACATGGTTTGTAAGACAGAGAAGAGCATTTATTAAATGATACCAGTTAATAGAGGAGCCTTTTTTAGTGGTAAAGGCAGTCAAGTGCCAAACAGGATATACAGAAAAAACGGGTCAGAAGAAGCATTTGACATCACTACTTCAAAATGAAGCATATTTCTGTATATAACATTTCTTCCCATTGCATTAACATAAGAATTACATTCTCACACCTGACAGTTACTAAAATCAATTGTAAGAGTTAACAATACCTGCTCTATGTGGATAGATGATGAATTAAAGTATTTAACAAAAAAACCAGACATGTGGGGTAATAGAACAGAGAAGCAGAAACAACCCCAGGCATATTCAGCTATTTGATCTTTGACAAAGGGGCCAAAACTGGAGGAAAGAGCCTCTTCAATAAATGCTGCTGAGTAAACTGGATATTTACATGCATGATTTAGTCTGGATCAATGTACTGAACTAAATAAAAAATGGCCAAAGATCTAAATATTCAAACAGAAATAATCTGTGGGACAATAAAATAGGTAAAGCTCTTGAAGATATAGATGTAGCCAAGGACTTTCTGAACAGAACCCCAATGCCATATGAAATAGCACCAAAAATCAACAAATGTGATCATATCAAATTAAAAAGCTTTTGCAGAGCAAAGGAAACAACTAGCACAGTGAAGGGGCCACCTACAGAATGGGAAAAACAACTTTGCCAGCTATTCCTCAGGCAGAGGACTAACATCTACAATATACAGAGAACTCAAAAAAATTACTGCCTCCAAAGTAAAAGACCCAATCAAAAAATGGGCAAGTGAAATGAATAGACACTTTCAGAAAAAGTGCAAATGGTCAGCAAATACATGAAAAAATGTTCAAAATCATTGGTCACTACAGAAATGCAAACTAAAACAACACAGATTCCATTTTACTCCAGAAAGAATAGCTATCATCAAGAAATCAAATAATAACAAATGCTGGCAAGGCTGTGGCAGAAAAAGGACTACATTGTTGGTGGGAATGTAAACTAGTACAACTACGTACTATGGAAATCAGCAGATTCCTCAAAAAACTAAAAGGAGAAATTTCATTTGAACCAGGTATTCCCCTTCTAGGTATCTTCCTGAAAGAGTTAAACACATATTCAGTGATATATGGATACCTATGTCTTTAGCAGGACAATTCATAATAGCTAAATCATGGAAGCACCTTATATGCCCATCAACAGACGAATGGATAAAGAAAATGTAGTATTTATATATAATGGAGTACTACTCTGCCATAAAGAAGGATAAATGTGATCATTTGTAGGTAAACGGTCGCACCTTGAGTTCATCATACTAAGTGAAATAAATGAGACACACAAACTTAAGTACCACAGTTTCACTTTTATGTGAAACCTAAAATATAAATTCAGAGCAAAATAAAAAGATAATAGGAAGTAGGGAGATCTTTTCAAATGGGAAGGGGAACAAAAGATGGACAAAGGGGAAGAGGGAAGGGACACGGAATTTTAAAGAAAGAATAGGCAGAAATGGAGAAAGAGCTTTTGCAAATGCAGAGGGGACTAAGAGATGGAGCAGGAAGGCTGAGGAGGGTTGGGGATGAAAAAAGAACTAAGATGTGCTGTGTACATGTAACAACTGCCCACAATAAATGTAATCATTATACACTACAAACAGGTATTGTACTAATAAAAATAAACATTTACAAAAGATGAAAAAAGTAAGGCATTTGACATATCTTCAATGTTTTGCCTCATCTATTGGTATCTGCCCCACTTTTCACTACTCCTTGATATAACTTTGGTCTGTTATTTTGATACGACTCAACAGACTTAACCCTCTTCCAAAGTGTGTCCAACAAGAAAGCCACTGCTCAACTTTGCTCTTAGAATTTAAAAAAGCCCTCTGTACATAAAGGATCACAGCATAACTTCATGTGCTTACTGAGTATGTGAAATAGAGAAGGACTGCAATACCTGATGATGAGCTGCCCTTGCTCCTCAGCTGCCTCAGAAGAAGCTATAGTCAAACGGTGAACAGTAGACTGTGGGCTGAACTGACTGTGGCTTACAGCCAGGAAACTGTCTTCTTCAATCCAGGTGAGAAGGGTGAGCTTCAGTGGGTTTACTTCTTTATCTTCATCATTCTCAAACTGAATTCTGTTTAAAAAAAAAAAAATCTAAGATATGAATAAAACTTTAAAAGCACTGAACCTTTAAAATCTTTCCTAAGGAAACAATGAACCATGTAGTATATGGTCATCTCCTAATTATCTGGAGGAACAAAACCTGAGCTAAATACTAGAAAAATCCAAAAATAATGTTTGTCTGGCTTAATCTCTCTTCGTATTTATTTTAAAGCCATGGGGAGGGTGAGGGGTACCAAAAATCAAACTCAGGGCCTCAGGCTTACAAGGCAGGTGCTGTACCACTGAGCTACATCCCAAACCGTATTTACTTTAAGTTTCCCGTGGCCTGAGATCTTTAGAGTGGAAGAGAACATTTCAGGAAATTGATTGTACAAGGAAATTTACCTGTCCCATGCTTTCTACTGTTACCACTCAGCAGCATTCAAACCAGATGTCAGTAGATACCTGGGTCTCAGTAAGACGAGCCCTTTACTAAGGACCTCACATCACAGAGACTGACCAGTTTGGGAGATGGTTTCTGTGTATCCGCTGCCTTCTTTGGGGAGCATCTATCCACCTGATCAGGGCACTGTTTTTGCCACCTCGCATAGGCACCCATTCAGGCTACTTTCTGCCTTTTATATCCAATGACACCTCAGCTCCCACTGAAGAAGCAAGTCATGCCATGATCTTCCTTTTCAACCAGCTCTTCCCAAACTTGGTCTAGCTACAGAGTATTCTTTACATGGGATCATTCCTATCTGGTTTTCACTAACACTCTCCCAGTCCTTTCCAATCCCAAACCAATCCTTTCACAAGGATCAAGAGAAGTATTCATGTCATTCACGAAATCTTCTCTGAATGACTTGGAGTTATTCCTCTCAATTTTGTAAAAATAAAACTATATTCTAAACTGGCTCATATTTTCTAATTTGCCTTGTATTTTATCCTCTAGTAGTTTCAAGTCTGTGTGCTGAAATTTGGTTCTGGAATGAAATTCACCTCCAAAACCTCAGCCAAAATAAACCCTTCTTCTCTGTAAGTTGACTTATCTCAGGAATTTGTAATAGTAATGGAAAGCTAACATACTGTAAGAAGAAATAGGCAAGTAAATATTCTTTAAAAAGTATTAAACACTATATAAGCAGCCCCCAAATCATACATAGGCTGAATACTTCTGAATACTTACATATTTATTCAATTGTTATTTGCTACGCTGTATTTTTTTCCTATTACTTTACTAATAGACACTCTCAATAGGCAAAGTAGGTCAGTAATTACAAACATAGAATAGAATAGAATCAAATTTTGGATTCTGCAGTTATCAGGTTCATGACCTTGATCAAGGTACCTATCCTATAACTCTGTTTTTTGTTTTCTTTTAAATTTTATTGGTACATTTTAGGTATACAATATAATGACATTCATCACTGAAAATTTGTACCTTTACAAAATATATCTATAACTTTGTTTTTTCAATCTGTAAGCACTTAATAGCACTTTTAAAAAAACATTTTGCCATAGAAGTAGTATTATAATTTCGCATCTGGGTCCTCCTGCAAATATCCAGTTGTATGAAATATTGTTTCAGTAAAAAAAAAAAATGGATTCTGATTTCAGTCTGGGAACTTCAAAATATAACACCCATCAGTTAGAGTCTGGGACGAGGCCAAGGCTAAAGCTGCACTGAGTCATCCGTATATTAACATATACCTCCATATTTATGTAAGAGGATACAACTCTGCCTATAATCTTTACCTCTTATCTTTCCTATGTGATTTTCCCTGGAGAACCAACATCTGTCCTGAGCTGGGGAGTGGGTTCTGACTGGCTCATGATTCCCATTTCCTTGCCACCCACTGGAATACAGAGCACTCAGAAAAACCAAGTAACCCCCTCAACCTGGATGAAAAACCAGGGCCTGGCTGTTGTATCTCCTTCTTGTTCCACTCAGCAACAGGCGGAGAATAACAAGTGGTTGACTGTAAAAAAAAAGTGCTGGCTGATTCTGTTCCCAGAGGCCCAAAATAATTAAGAACTTACATGTATCTCTTTTCCAGATGAGGTGTTTTAAGAGGAACTTTAAATCCATTTCCACCCACAGCTCCCAGTTTCACTGTGGGGTCCACACTTGGACTATCACCTAGAAAATAAGAAGGCAAATATTACCGTTGTAAACTGTAAATCATTTTCCTGATACTAAGGGGATGGGGGGCCTGCAATTAATGAGTTCTAGAAGATAAATAAAACAATCCAGAAAATAACTACATGTCAACCTCTTTCATCTCTGCATATCTTTGAGGCTTAGCCAAGACCTGCTTCCTGTTAACACCAGGTCAGGTACAACCTTTACCAATAAAAGCCACACCAGCAAGACAGGTGAAGGGCCTACCTTCTCATTCTGTGCTATTTCTTCCACTGTCCTCCAACCACCTCTGTTATCTCACATCTTTGATAATCCTTAACACTCATTTAAAAGACATTTTCTTTTCCACTCTTGATCCAGTGTATTCACAGTGGGCAAGGCAATCCTTTAAAAAATTCAGTCATACAGGGTATAGTAGTGCATGCCTATAATCCCAGCTACCCAGGGGGTGGAGGCAGCAGATGTCAAGATTGAGGTGAGCCTGGGAAACTTAGTGAGAACTCAGACCTTATCTCAAAATAAAAAATAAAATGGGCTGGGGATGTCATTCAGTGGTACATTATTTGTCTAGCACACACAAGCCTTGGGTACAATCTTCAGTACCAAAACCAAAACAAACAAAAATCAGTCAGGACACTGCACTTCTCTGTTCCAAGCCCACTCGAGGCTTTATAGCTCACTCAGAGTAAAAGCCTTCAAGGCCCTATAAGAGCTGCTCCCAATCATCTCTAGGATCCCACCCACCAATCTCCTTTCATTTTCTCTGCTGCAGCCACCATGAACTCCTAGGTGTTTTCAAAACACAACAGATATCTTTGCAGCTGCTTTTCTACTCTCCTGTGAATGCTCTCATCGCACATGTTCACATGGCTCGGACTCTGATTCTAACCAGGTCTCTGCTTAAACATTCTCACAGAGAGGACTTCCCCCATCACCCTAGATACAAAAGCCACGTTTCCCTAGTAGGTCCCTATCCTCCAGCTCTCCTTGTATCCCATTTTGCTTAATTTTTCTCCACTGCACTTACCAAATGATGGATTATATTGTCTTGATAATGAACATATTATCACTTTTTCTTAAAAAGATATTTTTAAAATTTTAAGGATTGTAATAGCCAACTAAACTCAGAGAAACTGATACTATATCTAAATAGGATTCATGTGAACAGTAGGCTGTTGATTTAGCAGAAAAGCTGATGTAAAAGCAGGGAATGTTAGTATGAACTAATTAATTATTCTCTCTCAGCAGCTGCCTAGGCTTTTGCTGACTGAAAAGTCCAACAAAGCACTTTTGAAACAAGGATCATTTCTATATGCCAATTTACTTTATGATATGATCATAAAGCTCACAAATTAAAAAAAAAAATTCAAGTATTCCAGTACATCAAGATAACAACAGAGAATGAGAAAAGACAACTAAAGTAGAAGCTGGAACTCTGACATGGTTTAAGTAGAGTACAAGATCAAGGGGGCCGGGATTTAGCTCAGTGATTTCGCCACCTGCTGTGCAAGCGCAAGGACCCGAGTTCGATCTCCGGTACCAAAAAAAAAAAATTTGGGCCGGGGATTTAGCTCAATGGTTTCACCGCCTGCCGTGCAAGCGTAAGGACCCGAGTTCCATACCTGGTACCAAAAAAGAGTACAAGATCAAAGAAAAACTTCTAAGGCAATTAAAATAGTAAAGAATGCCAAAGATGTAATAAGACACTGTTATTTCCAGGGCTGAATGTTATTCTTAAGTAACTGACTCTTCAAATTCAGCAAGGCAGAAAGAAATGCTTTTAAACTAGAGTAGAATTCAGAAAAAAGCAAAATAATGTAAGCCAATTAAATATAATAATACTGAGAACAATTATAGACTTCAAAAATTTTTTAAACACTTAAAAATCAAACAGTAATTTGCTTTTGTGTAGAAGTACAAGGAACTTAACTCAGAACATCTTGGTAATAGTCTTTTAACATACCGCATTTATAGACGGAAATCTGGTTACTGGCATCTAACACAGCAAGGTCATTGCTTTTTTTAGAGTGTGCAGAGAATGTGACTTGAGTTACTGGATGTGGAAGCAGCAGGTAGTACGTGCACATGGGAGGCGGAATCACAGTCTGCTGGAACACTGTCACCAACACCCTATCTGCATGTGAAATAGAAGAAAATTAGACATCTAATGTGTAAAATAGGTACATTAAGTCTCCGACTTATGAACGAGTTCTATTCTGGGAGAATGTTTGTAAGCTAGATTCATTTGGAAGTCTGACAGAATGAGTCTTACACACCTTTGACACAAATATACAATGGAAAGCATAAAAAACCAAACACAAATACAGTAAGTCCTTGACTGTACTGTACTACTGTACAGTATTGCACTGTACTGTGAGCACACAGCAATACAACTTTAACAATGTCCAGCAAACACATGAGCTACTTTAATGGTTTGTTTGCATCTACAAATGTTCTTAATGTGAGGTCCATTCGCGTCTGTGAAAGTTTGCAACTCGAATGTTTGTGAGTTGAGGACTTATTGTGTCTAAACATTACAGTACTTCCAAGTAGTAATGATGGCAGAAAACATAAACCAATTCTTAAAAATAGATTTTGGTGTTTTTCTTATGAATAAGCTTAAAAATAATATGGAGAAGGAGGGAAGTGTCACGGACTTTTCCGTATCTCATTATTGTCATCACCAGGCCTATAGCAGTCCATCTATGAACTTGGAAGTTTTAGGTTCAAAAAGGCCAAGAGATCAGAGCATTGGTATTAAACATTGGCCTGTGGCCGAGACAGAGAATCGATACTTTGAAAATTCTCAAAGCACTTTCCTATGTGTTGATTTCATAATAAGACAGAACTGATTAAGTTTGCTATACAGAATATATGATCGCAAAATCAGTATTACAACCACCACACAGAATAGCTCACATTGTGAGCTTAGAAGCAAGAGTCCTGTACGCTATCAACAATAAGTAAACTATTTGGGTGACTACTTGACTCACCAATCCAGGGGCCCTCCCCTCCAAAACCCTCACCAAATCTTAAAACACCAACCTATACAGATTTCTATGAAATACACTGAATGTCCTAGTGAGATAATTTGCAAGTGTTTATATCAGGAAACAAAGCAATGTAAGTGGACGGGCATAAGGGTCAACCTAAGTCTGTCAGATCAAGGAGACAAAGCTAACATAGCCAAACCCACAAGGTTCTACTACTGACTTCTCTATAAAAGGTCAAAATTTTCAAAGTCTGTAGAGAGGCCAGATGACTAAAATGCATGAAACCCATGGATATAGTACAAATGGAAATGGGGGGCAGGGGGGACTATGTTCTCAGAAGAACATATGCCACAACCAGCACTCCCAGTCAGAAACAAAACAAATAAGCAAAAGTACACCAAACAACTAAAACATAGATTTTCCCCACAATTCTGATCAAACACCACATTTGAAGGTCCTGGGCTCAGGATCCCTTAAAGGCTCATGGACACGTTCCCCAGCCGCTTACTTCCATCAATGACAGCCACATTTGCCAAGTCACTTGAATTATCTCCCGAGCTCCGATCAGTCATCCAGTGCCACTCATAGCAGAGGTAATGCCAGCCCTGACAGAGAACATGCAGCCGGTATGGAGTCACTGGGTCCCACATCAGAGACACAATCCTGCTCTTCGCACTGGTATCGAAGGGCAGACTTTGTTTGAGATACCAATGATAGTTTCCAACAGTCCAGAGTTGAACTACAGGGAAAACAAAAGCAAGGTCTTCAGAGGCCAGGCTGACTTTATACTTGTTAATGGACATAGTGACAATTTGCTCTGTTTTCAAATAATTTTTCCTGCTTGGCCTCTTTATGAAAATAATAATTTAATAATAGTAATACTTGTTAAAAGATAGTTTTCCACAGAAATAAAATGCCAAGCCTCAATAAGTTCAGAAGTGTATGTTTTTTACCTCTACCTTCAAACTTTATGATCATGGAAAGAAGCTAAACAAGACAGGGTTTCACTGAGTTTTCTTCATGAGTGTTAGAAAAAACTTGACAATCAAGACTGTAAGTATAGTCATGCATAATTTAACAACAGGTATACATTCTGCAAAACATATCTTTATAAGATTTTAATGTTGTGAGCATCATAAAGTACACTTACACCAAATAGATGGTTACAATGTTCCTGGATGATATAATCTTATAGGACCACCATTGAATACGTGGCCTGTGCTTGACTGAAATGTCATTATGTGGTACATAACTGTGCTACAACACTCAACCTAAGATCTGGACTAGTACTGCCATGTTGAATTAGTCTTCCAGATACTTTTCTTCCAAATACCAAGCTATCTGGTATTAACTATGACTCAGCTCCCCAAAGAAGATTAGCATACAAGCAAGTATCTTTTTAATATGTATTAACAGAACAAGACCTTATTATGTCAAAACCAAGTTTTATCAAAACAGATGACACACACAAATTAAAATCTTATAGTAATGGGGGCTGGGGATTTAGCTCAGGGGTTTCACTGCCTGCAGCGCAAGCACAAGGACCCGAGTTCAATCCCCGGTACAAAAAAAAAAAATCTTACAGTAATATTCCTGCTCACTGATTCTAACTTCATGATCACAACAAATACAACCATGCTATAACAATACTTCTATGTAGTCATGAGCTGGTAAATTAGACTGCAGGCTCATGCTTCATGAACAGATGTTGTGCCTGTTCTTGTGCTATATTTTATCCTCAGTACATGACAGTGCCATCCCTTGACACACTAGTTACTCAGTGATTCTCAACTGAGGGGATATGTTAAAATCACCAGGGAGTGTGTTTTTATTTTTAATTTTGCAAGTCCTTGGGTTCAATTACCAATGCTGCCAAAAAAAACTAATTAATTATTGATGTACAGCTCTTATCTCAATACATTGAATTGAATCCAACTCTGAAATGAAGCCTCAGTATCAATATTGTCCTAAAGGTACAGCCAGGAATGAGAGCCATTATGCTGAATGAATCAATGAATATCTTGGTAACATTCCAGTTAAAAGGTTCTACTCATCAGAATTTAAAAGCCACTTAGAAAATAAGCAGAAAGATTTACAAAGATGCTGAATATACTGTAGCTAATAATAATGAAAAATTAAATGCCTAACAGCAAGGGATTTGATAAGCTGGCACAAAAGATTATACAACAATTTTAAATGATACAAATGTACACCTGAAATGAAAATATGCATGTGACAGTGTCAAAGTAAGTTACAAGCTGTGTTATATACATGTACCAACTTCCCATGATAAATGCAATCATTATATACTATAGATATAATTTTTTAAATAAAAATTTTTTTTAAAAGCAAGTTACAAGCACGTATCATTACCTATACTTTTAACAAAAATGAGATCATAGCTATAATGAGATATACACATAAACCTAGAAAATAAGAGTATGTCACTAGTGATTATTGCTGGGCATGGTGATGCATGCCTATAATCCCAGCACTCAGGAGGCTGAGGCAGGAGGATTGCCATGAATTTGAGGCCAGCCTGGGTTACATAGTGAGTTCAAGGCTAGCCTGGGCTACATAGGGAGACCCTGTCTCAAAAAACCAAAAACAAAACAACAGTGATTATTACCACTGTTATGGATTATGTGTAGATGTGCCCCCAAAGCCTCACACAATCATAGGTAGGGCTTTTCAGGGTTTGCTGGATCTAGGGTGTGTGACCTAGGAATAAAGGTGTGTGATTACTAAATTAGTCCACTGATTGGTCTGGCACAGTTCTGGGTATGGATAATGGGAAGGGCCACGCCGGGTGTGGGTGGCACCACTCAAAGGGTGGGTAGCCTAGAAGGAATAAAAGGGAGAGGTGCCAGGCTGCTGCTGCTTCACTACTTTGCTGTTTACTGCCTGGCTGCCTTCTGCCTGAAATGAACCATTTCTCCTCTGTGATACTCCTCTGCCATGTCACACTGTCTTGGAGCCAGCCAACTATGAAATGAAACCTCTACCAACTGTGAGCTACAATAAACCTTTCTTCCTTTAATTTTGGGTGGAATTTGTCTCAGTAAGAAAAAAGTTAAGACAAATGAGTACCAGATTACAGAAATTTTTCCTTCTTTGTACTTTCCAGTGTTTTTATAAATTATTTAATACTTAAAAAGTATTTATACATTTAGAAAGATTTAAAAAATATTATCCCAATTTAAATCCCTTCACTTTCTCAGTATTTCTTTGGCTGGCATTCTGATTATCTGCAGCAACACCATCCAAGAAGAAAAAGCACTAATGATTTGCAATGGTCAATTGCCAGCTTGGCTGTGCTATGGTGCCTTCTCAAACACTAGTGTAGAGGGCTGGGGATTTAGCTCAGTGGTTCCTCCGCCTGCCTTGCAAGCTCAAGGTCCTGAGTTCGATCCCTGGTATCAAACAAACAAACAAACAAAAAAATCACTAGTGTAGATGTTGCTGTGAAGGTATTTTATATATGTGATTAACATTTATAATCAGTTCACTTTAAAAGAAGGAATTCTGCTTTAAGACTATTTACATAAAAATCCTGTCTGAGTTTCTAACCTGGTAGCCTGCCCTATGAATTTCACACTTCCCATCTGCTACAAGCACATCCACATCTTTCTGCCCAGCACCTACAAATATCCTACAGGTTTTGCTTCTCTAGAAAACACTGATTAATACATGGCTGAATCCATAAATGATCAAACCTAACCACTCCCCATTTGCATCTACCACTTCAGCTTCTTTGAATCCAATAAAGACTAAATAAAAGGGATGAGGGAAATCCCACACTCTTCTATTCTCAACTACATTTAATGAAGCATAAGCTAAGATACTACAGCTGTCTTACCATAGGTTTTCAAAGCAGAATTTTCTTCCCTCTGAAGGTCTTCTAGCCAAATAGCAAGCACAGAGGAATCTGCATTCCAGAGCAAGTCATTTACCTAATAGGGAAAAAAGGAAGTTATCTGGAAAAAAGCCATTGATCTTTAGCTATGCAATTACTTGAGAATCTTTAAAATAGTTGAATTTCCTGCTCTCACAAACCAAATAACCTCACACTACTTGAGCTGATCCCTAGCTATATTAACCTAGAGAGTTGTTAAATATTTGAAATATGTCCTTATATATAAAGGACTTAAAATGCATTCTGCTGAAGGATTAAAAGACACCTAAGAAACTTAACCAAATGCAAGGTAACATTTTATAGAGAGTATGGTGTAATAATGGAATCTTGGTTTTGTAAAGAAAAATATTCTTAACTGTTACAGTTCTACATAATTAAAGATTATCATTTGATATGCTTCTACTTCAGCAGGATTTCAATGGTATACAAGCTGCTTCAAGTTTAAATGTTCAAAATGAAAAATGTCTTGATCACTGAAAAAATTAATGTCAAAATAAACAATAAAAACTATTATTTCTATTTCCTTTCTGTACTTTACCTACAATGGTGAAGAAATGCCACTTCTTTTCTACAAAATCTACAAAAAACAATTTCTCTTCAGGAAAAAAAGGCAGTTACAAAACCCACCATTTTATTACTATTTATGCTGGTGCTTGTATTTACACACCCATATCAAATATAACACTCTACAGCTGAGGACAGTCTTCTAAATTTGATGGCAAACAACTCAGATTCCTACCTTAACCTCATCCTTGAGGAAGGGAAGCATAAAGTGACCATGAAGAAGTCCATTTTTCTCAAAAAACACAACATCTTGCTGATTGGGTTTATCTTGTGTAGAAGCAATCAAACTGCCTGAGGGTCTGAAAGCAAACTCAAGAGTGTTAAAACATCCAAAAGCTATCTGGCTGGCTTAAGAACAAGGTGAAATTCAAAGATATTTTTTCCAGCAACAATAAATTAATAAATAAAAATCTTCATCCAAGAAGTTTCAAATCCCCTATTTCCCTTGTCTCTTGGCAAGCAGTTCGCCCAGGTTGGGGTTGCAGGGCTCAGAGGAAAGGGCGTCTTTTCCTCATTTGTGCAAAGGCTCTACTTGCCCACAAAGCCTTACAGACTTAAACTGCACTTGGATGACATGTTTTAAAACCAGTAAATTTTTACCCGGGGATTTAGCTCAGTGGCTTTGTCACCTGCTGGGCAAGCGCAAGGACCCGAGTTCGATCCTCAGTACCAAAGGAAAAAAAGAAGTCTTTGAGGGGGCCAGGGATTTAGGTCAGTAGTTCCACCGCCTGCTTCGCAAGCACAAGGACCCGAGTTCGATCCCCGGTACCAAAAAAAAAAACCCAGTAAACTTTCAAAACAATCCCAAGTATAATATCCTAAAAAACATAATGTATTTCTCCTTCAATTATTATATAACTTCAGCAAAAATTCCATATTCAGGCAGGTACTTTTTAAGACTTTCTATCCATGGAAAACATTTCAATTGCTTTGTCTTATTCATATTTGTATCTAGAATTTATTTGTTTTTTGAGACAGGGTCTCACGATTTAGTTAAGGCTGACCTTGAACTCACTATGTAGCCCAGGTTGGCCTCAAACTCACAGTCACATCCTCCTGCCTTGGCCTTACAAGTTCTGGGATTACAGGCATGCACCACTATGTCTAGCTTGTGTCTAGAATTTTAATTCAAACACAATTCTCTTCTTTCTCTAACATCTGATGCCACTCAAATACTGGTGGAAAATAAGATGTCTGAAACCCAAAAATCTAGTAGTTTTGCATGTACCAGAAGCTAAGAGAGGAGGTATTTCTTTATCTGTGTAGTCACATATGACAGCAGAGTTGTAATGTGCACAGGAGTATTAGGCCAAGGAGCTGAATGGAAGGAGGGAGCCCAAATCCTCTCAGTTCCTCAGCAAGCAGATGCCCAGCAGTGTGAATTTGTACAGAGGAAGAAAGCTCTTTTCCTAGTTCTCACACAAGTTTCATTTGTCCCACGGAGCCATGCAGACTAGGATTTCCCACATAAGCACCTTTTTCTGTTTTCTACAATGGCACCGGAGACCCTGCCTCTACCCCTAACTTTTCAAGAATTAGGAATGCAGGGCCAGGGCTGGGGATTTAGCTCAGTGGTGCCGCCACCTGCCTTGCAAACACAAGGTCCTGAGCTCAATCCCTGGTACCAAAAAAAAAGAATTAGGAATGCAAAATGTGTGAGACCTTACAGTGATGAGATCTGTAAAGAAGCCCAGAAGCTACAATTCAAATTGAAGTCATATTCCAAAGAAGGAAGGAAAGAAGGGAGGAAAGGAGAGAGGGAGGGAGGGAGGTAGCCAAATGAAGCAAAGTAAATATGTTGTGTTATATAAACGTCCATATTCAATCACCCCTCCTTGTTCCAAGACATTCTCCAAGGAAGAAGTCCCAGTTTCCTCTCCCACTTACTTCCAGGCTAGGGCTGGTCCCAGTCCTGCCACAGGCTCACTGGTTGAATGCAAAGCAAATTCTCGGTTCCATACTCTGACCTTCCGAGCTCCTGTGCAGGAAGTGAATCAAATGTACTTAAAACATGACATATACTGTGAAGTCACAGCTTTTCAAGCACTTTCCTTATAAATAAAATTGAATTTACAAAGTCAATCAGATTAATCTTGTTAAAAATTTGTATTCACCAAGTGGAAGGCTGGACCAGAGGGCCATTAAAAACTCGTAATTGTTAACTCTAAATTCATTTACCATCTAAAATAACACATCTTTACCTCTTCTGTGTAATTAATACTCCACTCAGAGGAAAAACAAAAAAATCCAGAAAACTTTCCAGAACCTTAACCAGGATAAAAAAAACAAAACTGGAATTGCAATTTATTTCCATACCTGTTTCTGGACAAACAACACTCACAGCAAAAAACTGTCCATCACCACGCCAGGAAACTTGTGGTCTATGGTCATCCCAGGGCAAAGCAGACTCATGCTAAAGAGAGGAAAGAAATACTAATATTACTTGGGAAACTTTAAGAGCCCAGAATCAAACAAGCCTCAGCCATTAAATATGTATCTTTTCTTTAAAGCTGAACCTACCTAGAAAACAAGTTTTATAAAGAATCATCAGGAACTCTATATAGAAGAGCTCTCACAGGCAGGAATCACCATGAAAAAAAGAATGTCAAACAAACAAAAACCTTTTATTGACATTAAAAGACCTACACATCTAGATATTAAATATATTGAGCTAAGGAACTTATCAGGCAACTATATAAGGAAATAAATGCTCTGTTCACTTAATTTGATAGTTTGGTATCGTTACTGTGTAAGCTTCATAAGGCATGGCAGTGTAAAGATGGAAGAGCTGGACATGACAGTCAACATCAGTAAAAGCACTTTGGGAGGTTAAGGCAGGAGAATCACAAGTTCAAGACCAGCCTGAGTAACTTAACAAGACCCTAGCTCAAAATAAAAGGGTTGGGGATACAACTCAGTGTGAAGGAGATGAGAGAAAGGTGAGTATGGAAGAACAGCAATAGGAGCAAACAAGAATGAAGACATTCTGCATTCCACAAGACAGGAGAAATAAAGGTCTCCAGTACATTTTACATTACAATCTCGGGGCCTTGAAAGACAGCAGCCAGCTCTCCAGGTGGGAAACAAAGGATCACCTGAGAATTCCAGTGACAGCCTAAGTAGAATGCTACTAATTGTAGTTTGTGTAACAGGGAACACACAAGAAACCTAACAAGATTCATTTTCAATGAAACTGTTCTGTAAACTACAACACAAATTTCTACTAGTGAAGGGTAAAGGGCTGAAATTGGTTATATAAAGTATACTTGGAAATAATGAGAGGACAAAAACTATGTAAACGGCAAGCACGGTAGTATAAGTTAACCTATCCTAGAAAGGTAGTACATGGATATTTCTACATATAATTGTGCTTCCAGCTGTTTAGGCACAAACCTTGGTATGAGCCCCACTTCCCCTCCCTGTCATGTACTTCTGACCTGTATTAATAAATTCTATAGCTCTTCCTCCAAAATGTATTCTGAGTTAAACCACTTTTCATACCTCTCCACTTTCCTTTCATATTCCTTAGCCCACTGAACATAAAAGCTAGAATGATCCACTGAAAACACAAATCAGATCTTGCTGCTTTGTGAAAACTCTCCAATGACTCCCTATATCAACTGGAGTAAAAGCAGAAGTATTACCACTGAGCGACAAGTATACTACCTTATCACTGACTTCATATTCTATTTTTCTCTCTTCCCCAAGGATACAATGGCATCCTTGCCATTCCCTCAATACCCAAGAGAAAAAAACAACTTTAAGGTCTTTAGTCCTGGCTGTTCCCTCTACCTGGAATATTCCTCCTTGGCTATTCACAGGACTCATTCTCTCATTTCCTTTGGGTCCATTAATCACCCAGCACCTTCTTAGTGTGCCCATGTCTGATTGCCTCACCTGTGTAGTCTGGCAGTTCTTACTCTGGTTTCCCTTCCTCCATGGCATTTTTCACTATACTTTGACATCAGTTTAATGTTCGTGCATGCAAATAGAACGCACACTCACTTGTGGTAGGGATTGTGTTTCCAGCTATGTATTCAGTACCTCTAACAGAGCCTGTCACATGTAGGTACTCAATAAATGATATAAATGAATCAATGATCAATCTTTTTGTTTTGTTTTGCTTTTTGGGTTTTTGCAGCAATTCTCCTGCCTCAGCCTACCAAGTGCTAGAATTACAGATGTCACCAGACCTGGCTAATTTTAGAAGAGACTAGGAAAACAACATATAATGCAACCTCTAAAATCAGTGTTACAGGGCACTAGAAGAGCGCAAACAGGTAATAACCTGAGTGCTGGAGTCATACAACTTAAAACCCAAACCATTCCCATCAATATTTGCATTTGACTAATTCACAGGCTTCTTTCTTTTTCTTTTTTTTGGTACCAGGGATCGAACTCGGGTCTTTGCGCTTGTGAGGCAGGTGGCAGAACCACTGAGCTAAATCCCCAGGCTTATTTCTTTTTGAAACAGGGTCTCACTACACTCCCACCTCATCCTCCAGAGTAGCTGTAACTATAGGCATGTGCCAGTGCACTTGGCATAATCTATGGATATTTGTTTTATTTTCCAACAAGAACTGTGAACTTCCAACTCAAGACCAAGCTCTGGAGAGCCTTTAGAAAAAGTCATAAATAAAAGCTAGAGTAGTCTGCTGGATAGTACATTAGATATCAGAATGCATTTTGATTTTCTCCATTACCTGAATCATTTTATCAATAAAGCATAATGATGGCTATAGTGGACAACTCTCACTCTCATGGGTAGCAGGAGTAAAACATCCGCTCCAGAGTATAACAGAGTATGGCAAGCTGCCCCGCCTTATTTTAAATACTATTATAGGGCCCCTTAAAGTACTACTTGTAACAACTTTATTGGGATATAATTTATACATCACAAGGTTCACTCATTTGAAGTACTGTGTACGATTCAATGTTTTTAAACTGTTTTCAGAATAATCATCACTGAGTAATCATCACCATAATCTAAATTTTGAACATTTTCACCATTTCAAGTAGAAACTCCATACTCACTTGCAGTTCTTTCCACCCTGCATCCACAACTCCCAGTCCTAGGCAATCATTAATCATTTTCTTTTACAGATTTGTCTATTCTGGGCATTTTATATATATGCGATCAATTAGATTAGAAGACTGAAAAGCATTATCTTGGGCCAACAGGAAATCACTATCATCCAAAAGGAAAAATCAGGAAAAAGATGTAAAAAAAGAACAAAATCTATATCTACAGGAAAAATTATGAATACATGCATGTGAATGATCAGCCATTACTGAGGGACAGTAGCTCTCTGTGGAAAAGATAAGGGCATCAGGAAGCAGTACCCAGGGTGTTTCATTTCTATTTGTGATGTTTTATTTTCTAAACTGGGTGATGACTATTGGTAATAATTATTCTTGACACTTAAAAAAAGGATGTCTGTAAGGTAACTCATTCCCTGACGGCTCTAAACATTTACAGTTTTACTAAGCAGAGAGATATGTCCATTACTGGCCTCTAACTGGTCACCTAGGCATTTCTGTTGAGTGGCAGAACTTCCATTTGTTCCAATCAAAGTTTTCTATCCACCAAACCAACCTTACCATTTGCATCTGAAAGGCTGCTTGCCTGCCTTCTGATCCATGGAATTGTGTCTCCTTCTTGCCCCATCCAACAGTGACAAATTTGCCTAAAAAACAATTTATTGAGAATATTCAAGACAACCAATAAGCTAAACAAAATGAAATAAAAGCAGTTTCATCATTACTCTTTGTAAAGTTGGTCAATGACAACTATGTGCGTCCTTTAAGGCCTCTCAATATCTCACCCAACAGTCAATATTTGAAAAACTTGTTGCTATGGTTTGGATCTGAAATGTCACCCAAAATCTTATGTATCTGGAAGGTGAATGGATAATGGGAGTGCTGTACTCATCCATGAGTTAATCCACATATACGTTCAGAGCTAAAGATGCTGTGCTGGGTTGGAGCTGGGTGACTGGGAACATGACCTAGAAGAGTCTGTTTTCTTCCTTGATTCCTTTGCCACCATGACATGAGCTGCTTTTCTCTGTCCAGGCCCTTTCCATACCATTTCTGCCTTAAAGTCAGCTGACCATGTTCTGTAACCATAGGCCAAAATTACTCTCTCCTTCTTTAAGTTGTGTCAGGTATTTCTGTCCCAGTAAAAAGGAAAGTAATAACATTTTGGTATCAAGAGTAGGGTCACTGATGTGACTACTTGATCATGTGGTTCAGAAGCCTTTGGAACTGGCTTGCAGGAGGAGTTTGTAAAGTTTGGAGATGCCAACATCTAGCTTCTCTAAAGCCCTAGAATGCTATAAGCCAATTTGATGGAAGATTCTGATTAGAGTTCAGAAGACCAGAATACTCAAAAATACGCAGTTGGTAAAGGATAGATTCAGGAGGTTTAAGCAAGGAACAAGGCAGTTGGACTTGAGACCATGTATATTATGCTCCAGCAGAAAATCGGTCTTCATTATGCTCAAGTCCTGAGAATTTATGGGAAACTGAGATTAAGGGCAGCAGACTAATCTGGTGGAGGAAATTTCAAGGCAGCTCAAGGTACAAGCTGTAGCATGGGTACTGCTTATTGCTTTCAGCAAGATCTATAGTAAAAACAAGAAGTAAATAACAGTTAAATTATTTTGAAAGGGTACAGTTTCATCAGAAAAGAAACCCTGTAAAGTTGAGACCATGGAGAGAGTGGCTGCTAAAAAGATCAGCACAACACATTCACAACAGGGCTGTAATTCATATGCCTCATTGGTGGGTAGCTCTAATTTGAATTCAATTGTTCATGCTGGCTTGAACCACCAGTGGTATATGGATGACTCTCCCAATGGGTAGCTTGTACTTTTTCTCAGGAGGTCTTTATTAGAACAATGCAAAGAAAGGTGCTGATTTAGCATACCAGATGTCATCACATTACAGTGAAGGAAAACATTAAATTGGTGTAAAAAAACTATAATACAGCTAATTTGTGGTACAGCAATTGTAAATGTGTATTATATATATCAGCAATGGGGTATCTGTAAGATTTCCATATTATAATTTAGGGAATTATCAACAAACTTCATGAATATAAATTTCTTTTAATTTAATGAAATAAACTTGTTGGTTATTGTAATAATTTTAAAAACTGGTATGATAGTGTTAATATTTATATTTGGACAGTAACTATTCAAATTCAAGCAACTAACTAGATTTGGTCCATCTATAAACTTTTTTTTAGTTTTATTAGTAAAAAGACCGGTAAAAGTGATTAGATCCATTTATACCACCAGTGGTACAAGCTGCCTGATGGGACAGTCATGCATGTACCACTGGTGGTTCAAGCCTGCAGGTACATGTTAAAAGGAAGCCAAGTACTTTGCATTAGGACAATAGGAAAGTTGAATTAAAGGCATATCAGGAATCAGCAAGACCCCACTCTGCTGAGTTTTGGTCTTGTTTTTGTCCCATACCTTTCTATCCCCCTAGTTCTACCTTCTGGAATGGAAATGTTTATCCTGTGACATTATATATCAGCAGCATTAAACATTTTTATTTTTACAAAGGCTCACACCTAAATTCTCCCTTGAGTCTCAGAGGGGTCTTTGAATTTGGACTCTTCAACAATGCTGGAATTGTTACAACTGTTAAAACTTCGGAGAGTCTTAGAGATACATTTTGCATAAAGAAATGCATATGAATCTTTTGGGGCCAGGGGCAGAATGTTATGGTTTTGATCAATGACCCCTAAAGCTCTGATGTGCTTAGAGGCAGGGCTTTTGTAAGGTAACTGGATCATGAGGGCACTACAGTTGAATGTAATGTTAGGAGGTAGTGTCTGGCCAAAAGAGGGGGGTTACTAAAGGCAAGATCTCAAACAGTGTATCTCCCTCCCCAGCTCATCCCTTTGCTCTCTGCTTCATGACCATCATGATATAAGAAGCATTCCTCTACAGCAGGCCCTTCCACCATGCTGTTTCTGTGTCTGAACTTGTCAACCATAGATTGAAACTTCTCAAACTTGAACCAAAATAAACCTCTTTCTTTAAGCTGTGGGTATCAGGTAATTTGTCCCAGCATTAGAAAAAGTGACCAAGAAATCTATCTTCCATATTATATACGGTGGTGATTTGGAAGAATCTGTAATACTCTTATTTTGGAGGAGGCTTTATGTCACCTTATACATTCTTTTTTTTTTTTCGGTACTGGGGATCAAACTCAGGACCTTGTGCTTGTGAGGCAGGTGGCAAAACCACTGAGCAAAATCCCTGGCCCCGTCATCTTATACATTCTAATTTCCTTTGATGATAAAAGTCAACAATTTCATCCCTAGCCTGTAAGAAAAATGAAATATGAAGAATTTACATAGGAAATGAGCAACCCTCATTTACCTAACACTTGTTGAGCTGAGACTCAGCTTTAGTCAGCCTCCTCTGGGATCTTCTCTCTCCAGTTAGTCCTTCCCTTCCCTTATGCTATCCTAATACCTGTACATCCTGTCATTGTATTTTTGGCACTCCTCAAAGGAAAAGCAACTAATTAACCATTTTTTGCATTTTCCATAGCAACAAACACACTAGTGGGTTTATACTACCAACTAAGAAGATAGCTCTGAACATATTATTTTTGAATGCTTTATTTTAAGTAGCAGTTTTATAAATTATTTCAGAGTTGGTGAAGCAAGAAGGCATAAGGTTAGACCTTAGGAAAAGCTGCACTACCTTCTCTTGTAATTCTTCTCTTTAATCAAGTCACCAACACAGTGCCTTCCAGCTGGACAGAGCTTCTTATGCTCAATAAGTCTCACCTCTCCTCCTATTTCAATACTCCCACAGCCTTCATACCCAAATAACCTTGGCCAAATCTTCACAAGAAAACAATCTGATTGTTCCTATGAAAGTACAGAGGCAATGCAGTTAATGGGAACAAAAATCAGCCTTCTATTTCAACCTTGTTGTTTCCCTCTGCTCAAAACTGTACTCCAGAAATGTTCTTATTCTAGCATTATAATCCACCATAAGACTTTCCCCACATTTGGGCAAAAAAAACTAACTAGTTGCCTTTGAGCACAAGTTTTTATTCTCCAGGTTACTGACAAAAGCTAACCCTCTGACCTGGTGAAGTGGCAGAGCTATTATGCCTTTTAAGACCTACACTGGACTTAAAGAATTAGGATATGTAACAATTAGTAAATGGGGATTTAAACTTTACAGTTCTTTGGGCTTCTGATGTGGATACTAGAGCACAAGGAAATGACCAAAACTGAGGAGGAACTTCAGGTCACGAAAGGTTTCAAAGCTGTACTTACTTTCTCCAAAATCATCCTGGTGGACTGGCTGCTCCATGATTGGTTCAAAGTCTCTTGTCATCATAATCAGGGTCTGCTGACCTTAGAAAAGCACAAATAAGAATGACTGTGAAAATAAGTAATAATGTAACAGATTTGCCATTCCATAAGCATCTACAGCACTATAAGCTTTAGAACCACAGTGGAGGAGTTTATAGGCAGAAAAAGGCACAAAAAATACAAACAAAATGTTTTGACTTAAAAAAAAAAAAAAAGCTTTGAGTAGGTAATCATCTGGTCTTATTCTCAGCTATTTATGTGTGAAAAGCTGAACATCAAAGTCCACATACTTTCTTCCACTAAATCAACAGTCCTAGTTTCTAAGACATCTTTTCAAATATGCACCTTTGCCAGACACAGTGATTCACACCTGTAATCCCAGCACTCAGGAGGCCAAGGCAGGAGTATTGCCATAAGTTCAAGGAAACCCTGGGCTCCATAGTGAGCTCAAGGCCAGCCTGAACTACATAGTGCGACCCTGCCTCAAAAAACTAAAAGCTAAACCAAACCAAACCAAACCAAAACAAAACAAAAAAAACTAACTGTACCTCTGCAGTGGTGCTGGTTTACTCAATTCATCTGGAATGAAGAGACTCTCAAAGGAAAAAAAGAGAATGAAGAATGCAAGGGGGCCAGGGATTTAGCTCAGTGGTTTCACCAACTGCTGCACAAGCACAAGGACCCGAGTTCAATTCCCAGTACCAAAAAAAAAAAGAATGCAAGAAATATTGGTAGAACATAGTAATTCTTGGTCTAAGAGCAGGTAAAGATAAATACACTAACATTTTAGAGGCCACGCTCCCGCAGGCTGTGCAGCAGCACTGGGACCCAGTGGCCGTGACCCCGCAGACAAAGGAGCATGTCCTCCACGCCCACCAAGGCCACCCACTAGGCTTCCCCAGCATGGAGCCATCCAGGCGCCCCAAAGGCCATATGCCGCTGCCGCTCACGCTACTCGCTACTCGCCATGCTGGGAGGAGGAGGAGGCAGCAAAGGGCGAAGGCACTGCCCCGGGGCTGCAAGCAAGATGGGCGGCCCTGAGGGAGCAGCAGGGAGGAGGCGCCCACCCGGGGCAAGGTGGTGTGCAGCAGCCTGGACCTCGCACAGGTCCGGCCCCTGGACACGCTGCCCAACCACACAGTCACCCTGGACTGGAGTCATGGCCGAGAGGGGGCAACAAATGGCAGCCACGCACCGGAAGGTACCGGGCCCCCAGGGAACACACCGGCTGCAGCAGGAGTCCATGGCACTCCTGCCACCACACACAGGTGCTCAGGCCTTGGTGTACAGCGGCCACTGGGCTTGATCTGAGGCATAGCTACAACTTCTGCTGTGACACTGAAGAAAACTTGTGAGAAGAGAAATCTTTGCCATATTTCTGATCTCAGCAAGAAAGATTTGTGCCTCTCATCATGCACAGCAGCGATGGTATCCATCAGTGTCTTGTAGATGTTCTTTCAAGGGATGCTACTGAGAATGTCCATTAATGGAATGTTGCTCCAAGAATGAAGCAGGCAGGGTCAGCTGAAGAAGCCACGATGCAACCAGACTCATGGTCCCTAATATTGAAGACATTTGAAGTCTTTATATTCTGAGACGGTTCATTATGCAGTGATAAGTGAATCAGGATCCTGATTTCTGTGACAACATCAGGATCTGGTAGTGAGGGGAGGACAAGGAGCTGTGCTGCCTCCTCTTGGACATCAGAGAGGCCCTGTGATGGAGGTTCAGAAGCCATACCAGCCCTGTGCACAGGATCTTGCTATGTAGTTCGGGCTGGCCTTGAACACAGTATGTAGCTGAGGCTGACTTCAAATGCATATCCTCAGTCTCTCAGTGCTGGGATTACAAGCATCCTCCACCACATCTGGAAGCAGTTAACAATTTGCTGGCAACACATGACCTGATACTCTCTTCCTGATAAACGCTGCTACTCCCAGCTGGCCACATAGTCATGAAGGGTAAACAAGTGGTGCTCCGAAGGGGACTGTCCTGTACAAGCTATCTTCTTCAAGTTCACCTCTTTGCAGATCCTGAAATCAAGATTTCAATAGCTCAACATTGCTGGTATCAGGTTGATTGACCCGCATGCAGAAGAAATTTGTTATACAACTTTCTAGAGTAGGCCCAGGGACACCATAGCCAAATAAAATCCTCAGATGCACTTCACAGTGCAAAACAGCAAAAAACTGGAGGAGCAGAGCACCGCCCCCCCAGTGCCAAGGAGGTGAGCTGCGTGGGTACCAGCAGCACCACTCTCCCCCCACCCCGGTGGCTGCGCTGAGACAGTATTTGGATCCACAGCACAGAGGCACAGGGGGTCATAGAGGACACTGTTCTGAGCTCCAGAAGATAGAACAGAAGTGATCGACAGAAAGAGGGCCTCTCTCAGGCTCCTTGATGAAAAGGGAAGTCCATTGGAAAAGTGAAGAAAATCTCTGCAATAATGGCACACCAGACCACTGTAGTTGCACACTGAATCAGGGAGGATGGTGTGTGACTGCAGTCCCAGCACTCTGGACAGCTGCGGTAAGAAGGTCACATGGTGGAGTCCAGCCCGACCAATTTGGTGAGTTAGTGAGACCCTTAGTGGGTATCTGAAGTAAAATGTCTGAGGATATAGTTCACTGAGGAGATGCAGAGTACAAGCCCCAGTAATGCAAAAGTGAAAAACTAACAGCTAGATGAGAAATAGAAAAACTATTCATAGATACTTAGATAAAAATAACAAAAGAAGTGGCCACTGATTTAGTTAGTATGAAGAAAAAATGGCTGTCATGGGTGGAGACACGGGGAGAGTCTCCACAGTCCCAGGCCTGACTCTCCTGATGCAGAAGGTTGTGGAAGAAACAGAGAGACCGAAAGTGTAGAAGCAAAGTTGTACTTTTATTCAGCAAGCATGCAAGAGTACAGCTGCCTTCTCTCAGATAGACAGGCAGGCATGCCCGAAACAGAGCCACATTGTAGCGGGGCTCAAGATGCTGGTTTTCTAATAGTTGGGGCCTATCCTGCCTCTGGGCTGAGGGCGCCCCTACTTCATTGGTTAATGATTAACAGTTCATTACTAGGGACAACAGGGAAGGGTCTTTTCAGGGGCCATTTACATCTTAGGGCCAAAGTTCTTTTTCCTTTTGATCTTAGCAAACCAAGCTTTGCAGAGTAGAGTGAAGAGGAGGTGCAGCCTCAACAGACTGTCAGCTTTTTATGAGTGGTTAAGCCTGTTCTGCCAGCTATCTGAACTCATCTGGGGAGGGGCTCATCTCTCCCTGCCTAGGGGTCTCTATCCCTCCAGGGCTATAGGCCTTTCTATTACATGGAGACTCAGGTTATGGAACCCCCAAGACATGAGCTCACTTCCTTGGCAACATCTCCAAACAGAACTTGGAACCCTTGTTAATGGGTGTCACAATCTAGTAACAGCCGTCTCCCAAGCTCACTTGGCTGGAGACGGTCAACAGCGAACATGCTGAGCTGCTTCTCCACTTCAAGAGGCTGCAGCCTCAGGACCTCAGGTAGAGAAAGTATCTGTGAAAGCTGACTCCATCCATATGCCTCAGGCCACGCTGCAGCAGCTGCACGACTGTCACAGACACCCCAGGGACGATCTCCCCGGGAGTGACCACTAGTGACCTACCAAAATCAAGGTACCCAGTGAAGTCTCCCTGAGCCCAAGTACCAACAGCACAGAAACTGGGAAGAGTGTGGGGCAAGTATCACCAGGCCTAGAAACACCCAATAGCTCTGGGCAGGCCTCCCTAGAGCCGGGCACAGAAAACCTAGAGAGTCAAAGTCCAGCGGGGGAGATCGAAGTCATAGCCACTGGCCCCCAAGAGACACTGAGAAGCCTGGTGTACATCCATCCAGGCCTGGCCGCCACTATTGGAAACAACTTCACAGAGAGCCTTGCAGAATCCCAGTCAGTGTGGTCCCTGCAGGCATTCAAGCCACTCTTATTGTCTGAGCCCTGCCTGCCTGTTTCCCTGGGCAGCCAACCCATCTATGGTCCCTTCTTCCCAGGTACCTCCACCATCCACACCTCTACCCGATAGGCCCTGATTTTGGGAAGAGACATCATGACAAGATCTCTTGAGAATTCCATCCCATTTGAGGGCCTGTGTGATAAAGATCAAGATGTGTTGTGTTTGGACAATAAATAGCTTTTCACCACGCACTGGGTAGAAAGGAAGGAGACACGTTTACTGTGTCACCTCAGTTGGAGTTAGAAGAGGCCATTAGGCTTTCTGAGCTAAAGAAAGATTCTGGGCTCTTAATTCATTCATCACCTTGTATACCAGAACATCCTAAAGTGCCTTGTCCAGGAGAAGAGAAATCCATCCACCACAGAGCTGCAGGCTGCTGGAGAAAGCTGTATTATGCGAATGGCCACACTTTTAAGGCCAAACACTTCAGCAGGCGAGCTCACTGTGCTGTCTGCCCAGACCGTGTAGGGGGACTTGGCCGCCAGGTGTATAAGTGCACCAATTGTAAACTCTCGGTTCACAAGAAGTGCCACAACCTTGTCACAATTGAATGTGGGCAGCGTTCTTTACCATCAGAGCCCATGGTGCCAGTTGATCCATCATCTATGGCTTCAGACCCTGCACACACAGTGATGCCACATAATCTTTCAACTCATTGGGCTTTAGAACAAGTTGATGAAGAGAATAAGGCAGGGAACACCGGGGAAGGTGCCAAAGCTTCATCTGGTCTAGGTCTTGAGGACTTTGACTTGCTCTGAGTGATTGGCAGAGGAAGTTATGGGAAAGTACTACTAGTCCAACAGAAAGAATCAAATCGTATGTATGCAATGAAAGCACTGAAAAAAGAGCATGTCAACGTTCACTGGATACAGAAAGAGAAGCGCATTCTAGAGCAGGCATTCAATTGTCCTTTTCTAGTTGCACTGCATGCTTGCTTCCAGACAGAAGGCAGACTGTTCCTTGTTCTAGACTATGTCAGGTGGAGGAGGTCTACTGTTTCACGTGCAGCAACAAAGACGACTTCCTGAAGAACATGCCAGGTTTTACTCTGCAGAAATCAGTTTAGCAGTCAACTACCTTCATCAGCAAGGAATACTTTACAGAATTTTAAAATTAGAAAATGTATTACTTGACTCAGAAGGGCACATTAAACCCATCGATTTTTTGCTTCTGTAAGGAAGGGTTACAGCCAGGAGACACGACCCGCACTTTCTGTGGCACTCCTCATTTCATGGCTCCAGGACTTATAAGAAGGGAAGATTACAGTTTCAGTGTGGACTGGTGGAATCTTAGTGTACTCATGTTATATCATGATGATCAGAGAGTCTCCATTCGATCTTGATGAGAGCTCTGATAACCCTTATGAAAACTCAATCGAGCATGTCTTGCAAGTAATTTTGGAAAGAGACATTGTCATACCTCGTTTTCTGTCTGTACAAGCTGCAAGTGTCCTAGAGGGTTTTCTGAACAGGGACCCAAAAGAACGACTGGGTTGTTATCCTCACAGGGGTTTTGCTGATATTCAGGAGTATCCATTCTTTCAAACTGTGGACTGGGACATGATGGAGCAAAAGCAGGTGGTGCCCCTGTTTAAACCAAATATCTCTGAGCAATTCGGTTTGGACAACTTTGATCCTGAATTTACTAATGAACCTGTCTGGCTCGCCCCAGATGGTAATGATGTTGTGAGGGAGCTTGACGGATATGAATTTGCAGGTTTTGAGTATATCAATCATCTTATGATGTATGAAGAAGGAGTCTGATCCCCATTTTTCAACTATGCATTTTGCTTATGTTCCCATTTAATGCTTGGAAAAACTTGTTACCAGCTTAGATAGAATTAACCATTTCAGAGATGTCTGGAAGCTAATTTTAATTTATTGTTTTGAAGCTATATTTAGATGTAATACTTGATTCTTATAGTCTATAGTAGAGAATATGGAATTTTTTGTTCATAGATTAATTTTTATGAACTGATTTAAATAACAATGAGGCAATCGCTTGTTAACCACACATGTATATACATTCCATTTGTTGAGTGGGACATAATGCCTAATATTTTTTCTTTTTACTTATGATACAAGAAAACAATTTGTCTTTCCAGTAAAATATCTTACCTATGCTAGTTTCTCTCCAACCACACCTTTGAAACTGACCACCTTTTGGGGTCAGTTTATATACTCTTCAGGAAAATCCAAAAAATACCAACAATTCTGAATAAAAACACATATACTTGTATCTTTTTTATATGAAGGAAATACAACATATGACTACAAGCTTTGGAAAGATGGTAGTTCTCATGAAATGGGGCATCTGAAGGGGATTGAAGGATTGTTTATAAATTTTAGATTGTTCTAAATTTAAAACTAGAGCGTTAACTAAAATTAAACCAAGATTGTACCATTATAACTTATATACATTTAGATGATGATGGTTACCTTTCACATCCTTTTATCACATAAAAATGATACTAAAACAGAAGGATGATATATATATATATAAAGAGAGAGAGAGAGAGAGAGCATCCTAATTTTAGCTAATGATGTAGTTTTAAATTCAGAATGATTTAAAATTTGTAAACATTTGAGAAATTATCTTTTGACCATTTGTAGATGCCCCATTTCATGAGAAATACTACTTTTCCAAAGCTTGTACTTGTGTATTGTCTTTTCTTCATATAATTTAGTCTGAAACTAATGAAAACCTGAAAGGAAAATGTTTATAGACATTCTCCTGTTCATTTCCGAGGCATGTACGTTTCTCTTAATGCCTGGAACTTGCATGTCAGAAATATGTTTAGGATCTTGCTTTTAAGTGTTGCTCTTTTCCATAGGGCATTTTAGAGTGTAGACTAATCACCCAGGGTGTTTGTTTACCATGTTTATTACTAAGCCCACATTAGAACTCTTTTAGACTTTTGAACCTCATTTTGAGAAACACTTTCTTCAAGATATTCTTTTGTCCTCCAGTTAAATAGTAGAAAGTGTGTTCATGGTATAATATTTTAAGACGTTACAAGCAGAAATTTACAACTTTATGAACATTTTTGAACGAATTTTACATGAATGACTTCATTAGATACCTTCCTTGTTCCCCTCAACCAAATCTTAAGTTTTCTGCCAATGATATCCAAATGATGAGCATTTTTCTTTGTGCGGTTTTCACCATTATTCAGGGTGGTCTTTAGCTTTTCAATTTTTTAAGTAATAAGATTAACTGTATATTTTATAGAGAACTGCATTACAAATATCTTTTCAACTATTTTTGTAGTATTTAAGTGTTATGTCAGTTCTTTTCATGTCATACAGAAATTGTCTCAAAATACTCTTTAGGGGGAATAAGTCAGTTTATAGTCAGAATGGTTGACATTCTGGTGTTCTAAAAAATTTTATTTTGCATAATCCTGTAGTCAGATCATTTTATGCATATGCAGCTTGGGTTAAATTTCAAGTACTGTGTTCAGCACTGGTATATTTACTGTATAAATTTGTTTTGATTTCTGTCATATAGAACACTGCCTTAGTCATCATAATGTAATCTGTGTTGTGTTCTTCTTTTTTCATGTTACAGCCTTTAAAAAAAAAAATTTAATATAAAGGAGGAGAATCCAACAAAAAGAAAAAGTAATGAAAATGATAACTCAATATGTATCAGTTATAACCATCAATGTTAATAGTCTCAATTCACCAATCAAAAGAAATAGACTGGCAGAGTGGGTCAAGAAGCAAAATCCAACAATATGCTGCATACAAGAAATACACTCAATTCAAAAAGAAACTCATAGACTGAAAGTTAAAGGGTGGAAAACAATACTCCACCCAATGGGAACTCAAAAAAAAGCAGGAGTGGCTATCTTTTTTGCAGACCAAGTGGATTCCAAACCAACAATGATTAAGAGAGAAAAAGAAGGGCACTACGTCCTTATAAAGGGAACAATCCAACAGGAAGAGATGACAACCATAAATACATATGCACCAAACACTAGTATGCCCAACTGTATAAAACAAATACTAATGGACATGAAAAGTCATATATGCACTAATACAATAGTAGTGAGGAACCTCAATACCCCACTGTCACAAATAGATAGATCAACTAGACAAAAAATAAGTAATGAAATACAAGAACTCAATCGAACTCTTGGACAAATGAACTTAACAGATATTTACAGAGTGTTCCACCCCGCAAAATCAGAATACACATTCTTTTCAGCTGCACACAGGTCGTTCTCCAAAATAGACCACATACTCACTCATACAACATGTTTCAGCAAGTGCAAATGAATTGAAGTTATACTCTGTATATTATCAGGCCATAGTGTGATGAAATTGGAGATGAATAACAAAAGAAACCGCAAAAATTGCATAAACATATAGAAATTTAACAACACACTTCTGAATAACCAATGAATGGGTCACAGAGGAAATTAAAGAAGAAATCAGACAGGTCCTTCAATTAAATGACAATGACAATACAACATATCGGAATCTATGGGACACAATGAAAGCAG